AAAAAAAAAAAAAAGAAGAGACAGACAGTCTGAACAGCCCCATGCGCATTAAAGAAACTGATCTTCATAGTTGGAACTCATCCAACAAAGAGAACTCCAGGCCCAGATGTCTTCGCCGGCAACTTACACCAACTGAAGGAAGAAGAGTTAACATCAATTCTACACAATCTGGTACAGAAAAGAGAACTGAAGGGAGCACTTCCCAGCTCAATTTAGGAAACCAGCACTACTCCGCTGCCCCAACCCCAAACCAGACAGAAACAACGGAAGAAAAGAGAACCATGGCCACAAAACTCCTTGACAGACATTACGAATTGAATCCAGCATTATATGAAAAGGTGGGTAATGCCATGACCAAATGGGCTTCATGCCATGAGGGAAAGCCTGGCTCAGCATTCCAGAACCCATCCCTGTGCTTCACCACACCAGCAGCCTAAAGAAGAGAAGCCATTTGATCATCTCAGTAGATGCAGTAAAAGTATTAGATTTCGACACCTGTTTGTGTTGAGGCCTCTCAGAAAATTAAGAATAGAATTTCCTTAACTTAATGAGGAACCAACCCCCACAGCTGCCAGGACACTTAATGGTGAAAGATGAAAGCTTTCCCCATTAGACTGAGAACAAGGCAAAGATGTTTGCTTTCATCATTTCTGAAAAACATTATGTTCAATTTCCCGTTAGTAAAATAAGGGGAAGAAAGGAAGGAAGGAAGGGCGTCCAGATAAGAAAGGGAGAAATAAAATGGTCTCTACTCATAAACTATATAATTGTCTATTTAGAAATTCTGATGAAAAAAAAATCCTTGCATTAATAGGTTTTAGCAACAACAAAGGACACAAAACTATTTCTACATGTTAGCAATGAACAATTGGAAATGATATTTCTAAAAAGAACCATTTACCGATCATATCAGAAGCCATGACATATTTAGTTATAAATCTTACAAAATATGCGCAGGATCTGTATGCTGAAAACAAAATACTGATGAAAGAAATCAAAAGGAGAGATATACTTGTGTTCATAGACTGGAAGACTCAACATGGTTGAGATGTCAGTTTGCCCTAAATTAGTTGCATAGATTCAACACAGTCCCAAATTCCCAGCAGGACTATGTTTGTAGATAGAGAGAAGCTGATTTTAAAATTCATACATATACAGGGCACCTGGGTGCCTCCGTCAGTGAAGCGTCTGCCTTCAGCTCGGGTCATGATCTCAGGGTCCTGGGATCCAGCCCCACGTGGGGCTTCCTGCTCCACAGAAAGCCTGCCTCTCCCTCTCCCCCTGCTTGTGTGCTCTTTATCTCAAATAAATAAACAGTCTTCTAAAAAATCCATACATACAGACAAAAGAACTAAAATAGCCAAAACAATTTTGTGAAGGAATAAAGTTCAAGGACTGCTAGAGCCTGATTTCCCAAATTACTATAAAGCTACAGTAGTCAAGGCTGTCTGTCCTTGCTGAAAGGACAGACGTATAGACCTGTAGATAATGGGATAGAAGAGAGAGTAAAAAAATAGCCCCACACAAATACAATCAAGGGATTTTTTTGACAGAAGTTCAAAAGCAATCCAACGGAGAAAAGATAGTCTTTTCAAGAAATGATGCTCAGCTGACTGACAGCCATAGGCAAGGAAATAAAGAGCCTCAGCTCATACCTTATACATAAAAAAATAACTCTGATATGAGGATGAAGTGACAAGCTACAATCTGGGAGAAAATATTTTCACATCATGTAACTGACTCTTCTTTTTTTTCCCCATTTATTTGTTTTTAATTTATTTGAGAGAGAGTGAGAGCCAGAGAGATCACAGAGGGAGAGAAAGAGGAAGAAGCAAACTCCCCGCTGAGCAGGGAGCCCGATGTGAAGCTGGATCCCAGGACCCTGGGATCAAGACCTGAGTGAAGGCAGGCGCTTAACGACTGAGCCACCCAGGCGCCCCACCTTTCCTATATTAGATCCATGTGATTTCACCCATTATGACTATCATTATGGCATTTTTTTTTCCAGAGTCCTTGTTTTCTCTTTAAGGTTTTATTTATTTATTTGAGAGAGAGAGAGCGAGAGCAAACATGCAAGGGGAGAGGCAGAGGGGAGGGGCGGAGGAGGAGGGAGGGGGAGTCTCAAGCAGAATCCGTGATGAGTGCAGAGTCCGACATGGGGCTGATCTCAGGAGCCTGAGTCGGAAATAAAGAGCCTGGTGCGCTCACCTGACTGAGCCACCCAGGTGCCCCTTGTTTTCTCTTTAATACGCACATGCTCAGCTCATCAAGCGGGCCAGTGTCCGCTGCTGTTTCGGAGTTCCTGGCAACAGCTCTGTGCTCCAGGCCCATCCGGACTCTCCCGGCCTCCCAGGGTGGAGGCAGCCAGAAACGGAAACTAAGGAGGGTGGATGCGCATCAGGCAGTCCCACAGAGTGATGCAGGTGGAGGGCCCACTTCACGGGCCCGTTAGGGATGGGCTCCAGGCTCTGTATCCCTCTGACTTGTAAGTCCATAATAGGTTCTCACTGTAACGCACTTTCCGCATATGTTCTTTCTGTGCACTTCTGTATCCGCGCGAGCGCAGCCCCAGCTGACTCCATCATGCACAGCGGTCTCTGGCTAACTCTGTGTCCTGTGCATCTGGTCTACAATAGTCCTACCTACGGACCTGGGACCCTGCCCCCAGAGGGCCCCCCCCACCGTGCTCCCACAGTCATGTGTTGGCAGGTGGGGGTGATGGACCCGAGATGGCCCCAAGATCCAGTGAGTTTGTGGATTTGGCAGGTGCAGGCTGAGAGGTGAAGAAGGCAGTGACTCAGGTAATGTGAGTCTAAAGAGCAAGCAGAACCATGACGATTGCAAAGTTCAGTGAGCGCTTGCCATGCTCCTTCCTGTTATCTCATTTCAGACTAGGAAGTCAGCACCCGGCAGTGGCCATTGTTGGAGAGTAACTGGGCAGGGTCCCCGTCATGGACGAGAGGCTGCTTCAGGGGATGGGGTGCAGGGCCGCAGACTGCGGCCTGCAGTCATTGCGGGGTGGGGGACGCCCTGGGGCATGAGAGGTTGTGTCGGGTGAACGGAGGGAAGCCCCATCAGGGGGCCCACGGGGGAGGCGGGCAAGGAGTTTTGGTCTCCCGCTGTCTGGCGGAACTGGCCTGAGAAGGGTGCTCTCAGGGTGCCCTGGGAACAGGGTGGAGTGAGAAGCGGCCCCGCCTCCGCCTGGAGGCGCCTCTTGGGGCGTCCCTGAGAAGCAGATACCCCTCCGGCGCAGGCCCGACCCGGGGGTCTCTGGGGCCCGGCGGGAGGGCGCTGGCGTTGGGTGCCTGCACACCTCGAGGGAGGGTCCGGCCGACCTCCTATCCGGGTCGGTTTCCCAGAGCGCAGACCCGCCCGTACCTCCAAGCCTGCGCGGCGCGGGGCGATGCTGGGCCCGCCCGTGCCAATCACCTCGCTTAACTCTTCTCTTAAGGGCCGTTGCATTTGTCCACCTGCCCGTCTCCCGGAGCGCGAAAGTCCAAGACTGGCAAAGACAGGGTGCACCTTAGAGCGCTCGGGGCCCACCCAGCCGGGCGGATCAGGGCGGGACTCCGGCCGGGCTCGCGGCGTGCCTGGGGGGCGGGGCTCCCGGGTTCGCGACCCGGGCACTGTCCGCGGTGCTGAGCGCCCGCCGGGGCACATGGGGACAGGTGCGCCATGGGGAACCGCAGCGCGGCGGACGCGGACAGGCTGCTGGAGGGGCGCGGGCCGGGAACCGGCGGCGGCGCGGGAACTCCCGCGGCGGCGGCGGCGGCGGCGCTGGCGGGGGGCGTGCTGCTCATCGGCGCGGTGCTCGCGGGGAATGCGCTCGTGTGCGTCAGCGTGGCGGCCGAGCGAGCCCTGCAGACGCCCACCAACTACTTCATCGTGAGCCTGGCAGCCGCCGACCTACTACTCGCCCTGCTCGTGCTGCCTCTCTTCGTCTACTCCGAGGTGAGCCCGCGTTCACGACCGCACGCGCTCTCCTCACCTGCTCCTTCGTCCCCTGTCCCCTTCCACCGTGAGGACCCAGAGCCACCCGGCCACTGGGCTTCTCAGGAACCTAGAGCCGGGGAGGCGGCAGGGACGCTGGGCCTGGTCCCAGGACAACTGGGGCCTCGGTCCCCTCTGATCCCCCACCCCCCATCTCGCTGTCAGTTTACCTGTTTGGCTGGCTGGCTGTCCGCCTGCCTTCCTCTGTGCCTCTCCTCCGTCAATGTTTTGGCGTCTCCTACCCAAGAGATGCCTTTGCCCTTCAAGCCAGCCACCCTCAGAAACAGGCAAGTTTGGCAGTCCAGCCACCCATTACCCCCTCAGCTGAGGTTCCATTCCCCAGGGGAGGCAGATGGACAGGCAGATTCAGATTTACACCCCCCCCTCCGGGGCACAGAGACACATACACATCACTGCACAAAGCCACAGCCAGGCATGACCAGGACCACGCACACACCAGAGCACTCCAGGGAAGGAGACCCTCACTCACGCACATACTCTGCCCACAGCAGGAGGGGCATTCAGCTGCAAGGAGCTAACGGCAAGTGAGCAGGGTTGGAGGAAGGGGAGGCCCTGCCCTGATGCTGGAACGGAAAGCAGGGGTTGGTGTGGGGTCCAGAGCCCCCACCAAGAACCAGGGCCCAGAAGCCTCCATCCCCAGACCAGGTCTGGCCCTCGGGTGGGTCCCCCTTGGTGCCAGCCCTTGTCTGCTTTCCAGTTTGGGCAGAGAAAAGCTGCTTAGGCCTGGGCTGGGAACTCAGTGACCCGGGCAGTGGGGGAGGGGAGACTCAGTTTTTCTGAAGTGGACGTGGAGAGACTGTGCAGGACAAGGGCACACATGACCTGCCCCTCCCCCAGAGCCACAGACAGATGTCACAGTGACAGCTCTTAAGCTCCTAATCGTCCCAAATCAGCGGGAGGGGATTTAGAAGGGGGGTGGCTGGCTGCTCCCTTGCCCTTGGTGAGGGCACGGTGCTGAGGCCTTTACATCTTTTCACTCATGCTCTCTGAGGAGAGCAATTATGTGGATACTATCGTTACCCTCATTTTACAGATGAGGGGACAAAAGTGAGGTGACTTGTGGAGTCCCAGAGCAGTGACAGAGTTTAACCAGGCTGACTCTTAGCCATCCTGTGGGGAGGAAACAGGCCCAGTGGGCTTCATGCTCCAGGGGGCGGGCCTGCTGGGGGAGCGCCTCCCTACCCCAAGCCCCACAGCATCAAGATCAGAGTCGTCAACCATCCAAACCCCATCTCCAGGGGTTCCCCAGGCCTCTCTGGCTCTAACAGAAAGGGTTCCCCCTTTCGGGGAGGGAATCTCGCCCAGCTTAGTGGGAAGGCGACCCGCACCCCAGGAGTGCGGGCCTCCGCACTCTGCACTCTGCGCTGAAAGAGCTCAGCCCAGGTGGCTGTGAGGGCTCCTGGTGAGGGGGAGACCGGCAGTGGGTCGTGTCTGTTGTTGCCCGCCCCGCCGCGCCCCTTCCCGCGCGCAGGTCCAGGGCGGCGTGTGGCTGTTCAGCCCCGGCCTCTGCGATGCGCTCATGGCCATGGACGTCATGCTGTGCACCGCCTCCATCTTCAACTTGTGCGCTATCAGCGTGGACAGGTGAGCCGGCCGCCGCCCCACCTCGCGCCCCCTCCCCGCCCGCCCCGCGCCCCTCCCCTGTCCCGGTCGCCCTCACCGCGCCCCCCGCAGGTTCGTGGCCGTGGCCGTGCCGCTGAGCTACAACCGTCAGAGCGGCGGCGGGCGCCAGCCGCTGTTCATCGGCGCCACATGGCTGCTGTCGGCGGCGGTGGCGGCGCCCGTGCTGTGCGGCCTCAACGACGCGCGCGGCCGCGACCCCGCCGTGTGCCGCCTGGAGAACCGCGACTACGTGGTCTACTCGTCCGTGTGCTCCTTCTTCCTGCCCTGCCCGCTCATGCTGCTGCTCTACTGGGCCACGTTCCGGGGCCTGCGGCGCTGGGAGGCCGCCCGTCGCGCCAAGCTGCACGGCCGGCCGCCGCGCCGGCCCAGCGGCCCCGGCCCGCCGCCCCCCGAGGCCACCGAGACCCCCGAGGCCATTCCGCCCCCCGAGGCCGTTGCGCCCCCCGACGCCATCCCGGCCGAGCCCCCGCTGCAGGGAAGCAAAAGGAGGCGCGCCAAGATTACCGGCCGGGAGCGCAAGGCCATGAGGGTCCTGCCTGTGGTGGTCGGTGGGTACCTGCCCCGGGGTCGGTGGGCGGAGTGGAAGGTGTCAGCGCCCACGGCCGGAGACGGTGCCCAGGACGCCGGGGCTGGGGCGGGGCCGGTGCAGCAGGGACCCTGGTTCACCGCGCCCTCCACCCCCCCCCGCCCCCAGGGGCCTTCCTGGTGTGCTGGACCCCCTTCTTTGTGGTGCACATCACCCGGGCGCTGTGTCCCGCCTGCGCCGTGCCTCCGCAGCTGGTCAGCGCGGTCACCTGGCTGGGCTATGTCAACAGCGCCCTCAACCCCCTCATCTACACTGTCTTCAACGCCGAGTTCCGCACGGTGTTCCGCAAGGCCCTTCGCCTCTGCTGCTGAGCCGCCCCTCACCCGCACCCCCAGAGTCCTCTGCGAGGACCTGGCCATGCCTCAGGGGGCAGGACCCCAGCAAGGGAGGGGGCGGTTTTGTACGACGGATTAAACCAATACCTTCCTAAACACCTGCTGGGAAGGCTGGGGGTGGGGAGGACGGAGAGGGGAGGGTGTGGGAGGAGCAAGGAGGAGGAGCTTCTGCCCCACGTGGAGCCCAAGACCCTACTAAACCGGCCCCAGCCAGTTAAGCACCCCCTTCCAACTGAGGAAGCCCGGAGAATAGACCCCACAAAGCTGACTCCAGGCTCAGGGTGAGGTGAGAGGCAAGCCAGCTCTTGCTTGTGCTCCAGGGAGGCCCATTCAGCCTCGCCGGAGGAGAAACTTCTAGAACCAGGGCAGCCCTTGCCTGGGAAGGCCAGGACTCTGCTCATGGGGCTGCCTACAGGCTCACCCTCCTCCAAAAGGTTCCCTCCTTGACACACCCTGCCACCAGCTGCACCCTCCCCCCAGCTGTTGCGGGCGGGCAGCCTCATCCCCCACCCCACAGCCATTGCCCCTCTCTCAGTGGGAGAATGTGGACAGTTGTCCTGCAGAGAGGAGACTTGCCCTGAGGCTGAGCATGGCAGTTTCCTGAGACTACCCTTTCCCCAGCGGGAAGACCACCACAGTGGGCCCATCAGCAGCCAGGCCCCACCCAGACTGGCCCCCTGCTTCTGCAAGAACAGCCAAGGTGGCCGCACGCCCCACTCAGCTAGCTGGGCTTTGGCCGCTGCCCCCAGGTCAGAGCACAGATTGTGCCTGTGATAATGTGCAAAGCCCTGAGGAGATGGGGCCGGGGTGCTGGGTAGGCCCACGGGGTGCTGGGTAGGCCCACAGGGGTGCTGGGTGGGCCCACCGGGGCAGGCTCCCACGAGCAGGAGGAGGTGCCTGGCCCAAGGCCTGGCAGAGCCGCCGAGCTGCCCCTCTGTGCTCACAGCACAGACCCGACCCTGGGGAGGAGGGGCAGCTCTCAACCCCTCCAAGCTGGACTTTGTCTCATTCTCCAGGTCCTGGGGAGGACCTCTGCCTTCCAGGGCTACTATGCCCGTGTCAGGGATGCTATGCTTTGAGGCACTAAGTTTTCTTCTGAACGTGAGAAATTATGGGCTGTGAGGTCCCGACCTCACAATAGCACGGGGCTGCCCCTTCCCGCCTGTGGGTGCTCACCCTCCCCTGCTCAGGGTCTCAGTGGGAGTGGGGCGAGGAGCACCTGGCAGACCCTGGCTCTGGTGGCTCCTTGAGTTTCTGGCACCTTCTTGCCCACGAAGTGTGAGGACAATTGCAGCAGACACCCTGGGTCTCCCTGCAGGGAGTACCCCTGATACTCAGGAGCACAACTGAGCCCCTGCCCCCACTGGCTATCCCAGGCACAGACACCTGCCCCAAGCTGGGCCAATGGTCCCTCCTTGGGGTCTCAGACATGAAGTAAAGAGCAGGGAGGGTCACTGGGGCCCTCAGGCTGAAGGCAAGGTCAGAGCAAGGGGCCCCCTGTGCCCTCTGATGCTCCCTCCACATGCACCTGTGGAGCCACCTCAGGTAGTCAAGAGAGCCCTGCCGTCAACCAGCACCTCCCCCTGCCAGGCAGCTGTGGGCACCTCCCAACCTTGGCTGTGTCCCACGCTGTGTCCTCCTCATCTGTGGGGGCAAGACTGACCAACCGCACGAGCTGGGAGCTGCTGGGGACCTGTACGGTCCCCACTGGCCCTGTAGGCAGAACCTGCAGCTCCCATAGAGGAGGACAAGGTGCACGGGGGGCGGGGGTACACGCAGAGCCACAGAGGGCCTGGCTGACCCGGAAGCCCCTGGAGGGGCCTTGACTACCCAGCTCACTCAGCCGCCCCACCGATGCCAATCACCCCAGCCTGCAGCTCCCTGGAGCCCTGGCTCTGAAGACCCACAGTGCCCCAAAGGGCCTGGTCTGTGCTGACAGAAGCCGGACCCTTGCCTGTCTCCCGAGGCTGCGTCCAGCAGGAGATGCCATCATTAGCCCTGACACAGAACTCTTGAGGACTGGCAACAAAGCCTGATCTCCGCCCCCCGCCCCAGGAATTTCCAGAAGCCACCAAAGAACACTTCACAGGCCTAGAAAGGATACAATTTGAAAAACTGCCCCCAAAATGTGCGGTCCTGAGGGTTCTATCTTCTTTTTATTATTATTTTATGTAGCCTCCATGCTCAGTGTGGAGCCCAATATGGGGCTTGAACTCATGACCCTGACATCAAGAGTCAAGACGCTTAACCGACTGAGCCAGCCAGGTGCCCCATGAGGGTTCTGTCTCAAAGAGGAGGGGGAGAATAAGCTGCCCCCACCCCAGGACGGAGCCGGTCCAACGGGGGGTGGGGGTGGGGAGTGGAACACGCCTTGCAGGGGGACTGGCACTTGCTTTTTGAGCATTTTCAGGTTTGGGTGCAGATCCCTTCTGCTGAGGCTGATGTGCTCCCCCGACCCCAGAGAAGCAGGGAAGCAAGTACACAGCCAAGAGCTGAGAAGTGCCCCCTTCCCGCCACGTTCTGCTGCAGCAGCGGAAAAACCCACTCAGTGTGCGCTATAAGGATGCCCAGTGGGGGATGGTGCGTCGTGGGGCCAGGGTCACAGCCCACCACGCTCACCACATCCTCGGCCCTGGGCACGCGCCCAAACTTCTCGGAATTCGACCCCTGAGAGGTGGTGGCAGAGGCAGGAAGGTGAAATGCAGGGACTCAGGTACTTGCTAGATTCAGTAAAAGAAAACCCAAATGAAGCAGCTTAGTCTGCAGAGCTCAAGGAGCACAGAGGCAGAGCGGGTTTCTGGGAAGCAGGGCCCTTGCTGGGCTCCCTGAGAGCTGCTGGCTGGGGGTCTGTCCTGAGGCCAGGGCCTGGCCCGCCCCGCCCCGACCTGGGGACACAGCCCAAGGGGGAAGCAGCCGCCTCTAGGAGACAGAGCAGCACCCCTGTGACCCCCATGCTCACGCCCCCTTCCTATCACAACTCTGGCCGCCCCCTCAGCTCGTTCTAGAGCCAGCGTCCCAAAAGCCAAGTCTCTAGGGTGCTACAGACTTGGAGGAACTTTCTGGAAGTAGGAATCACGGAGGGTGCAGGGCTGGGGGTATTCTTCCACACCCACGGAGGTGTGAACACGCACAGCTCACAGAAACAGCACTTTGAGGCGAGCATCAGGATCAAGCGACGTCCGTAGAAGGGTCTTAGCGCCTGGTGGCTGGGCTGGCTCGCCACTGCACACACAGCCCGGCGTTCCATCTGGGGCGGGTCTTCACCTCTGCCCCCCGCGCAGTGGCGCCTCCGAGCCTCAGGAGTGCGAAGAAAACAGGGTGATGACAGGCCAAGGGTTCCAGGGCCACAGAGGCATTTCTGGAAACCCACAGAAGCTTCCAGAACATAGGTGACTGTTCCTCAGGTACCACTCTTGGTCAGCAGGGAAGGCAGGTCCTGTTTCCAGGGCCAGCCAAGCCTGACACCCAGATGCGTTGGCGATGAGTACCCCGGGCGCTGGCCCCTGTCTGACTCCCTCTGCCCTCTGCCCCTCAGTGCCGGCGGGGGACGCAAGGCTGGCCTCAGCTCTGAGTGGTCAGCGTTCTCGGGTATAACCTTGTGTTAGAGAGGAGAGGAAGGAAACTGAGCCAGCAAGTTTGGGGCCGTGTCACTTCAGAGACTGGCAGGAGGGGCCCACATGCCCAGTGCATCATCGCCCCACGCTGGGGCCTCTGCTGTAGCTCGTCCACCAGCGGCTGCAGGCCGGCCTCGCCGCTGCCCCTCCACTGGGCTGCACACTTGGGCGTTGCGAACTCCAAACCGTCAGGAGAAACAAAACCGAGGCCCACCCACCTCCTGGGCATCTGGGAAGCTGGAGCTGGAGTCACCCGTCCCGGTGGGGCAGGGAAGTCAACTTTATTGACAGACACATGTTATGTACACGTGTGTTACTGCACACGTCACACCCGTGGGTAAGACCGGATGCTTACGAGCCAGGGGATAAAAAAGAGCACCGTGAGAAGGCGCCAAGGGCCCGGGGCCCGGGTCCACCAGCCGCTGCCTCGACCTCCCTCAGGGCTTCTGGGTGGCAGGAGCTCATTTCCAAGGGTGCAAGTCACTTAAAGTCTATTAACAACTTGACCAGCAAGTGTTTTCACCCTCTCCTCAACGTCCCCCAAAGTCCCTGACCCGCGGCAGCCCCACGGCACCATGGAGGGAGGACCCAGGGACCCTCACACGGTGACTTTCTCCATCACACTGTCAGTGACGTGGACTTCGTCCGCCTGGACGGTGACAGCTGCCGACTGACCGCACAGGTGCTGGTGGTCCTTCCAGTCCTGAAAGAAGAGCACACCCCACATTACCATGAGCAGCCACCTCACTGCACAGTGGGGAGCGGGACCTGGGGCAGGGGCCGCCCAACCCTCTGGCAGTCTCTGCTCTCAGCCCAGACTTGCCCACCCTCACGTTTAAGGGACCAGCTCACATGGCAAACCATCAGGACGAGCCTTAAACACACCAAGACCCAGAAGCATGTCTACACTCTGACCCCTCCTGCCTTTCAGAGATACGCACAAAAGAAATATCGTCTATGCAAGGAAATATTTGTATCTGATGTTGTTGCCCACAATATAACTTGCAATCCCAAAGGTAAAAAAAAGCTGAAGCCAGCCACTTGTCCACAGAAGGGTTTGGTGGCTGTGGCTCACGGGAAGATTGGGGACAGGGTGGGTGCACTGGGCGAGATGCCGGCTCCTCCCCGTCCCCCATTAGGGGACAGATGCTGCTATCAGCCTGTTTGCAGGTGGAAATGGAGCTGAGCTCCAGCAAGGCTGGAGCCTGTGTCCAGGCCTGTGGAGCTGCCTCTCAGCCCAGACCGGAGTTCTGCAGGAGGCTGGGCGGCCACGGCCAATGAGGACCGTGTTAGTCAAAACAGAGTAACCCCTAGACAGGAGATTACCATTTTATTTGACATGAATGAATATAAACACACACTCAGTGGAAACAAACACACCCAAACACTAACGGATGGTGTCCAGGACGGCAGAACTCCAGCTGATTATCTTTGTGCTGTCCTATGTTTTCCAAATTTTCCACAATAAGTGTGCCCTATTTTTACAATAAAATAGCAACATTTGAAATCATTATATCAAAAAAATGAAAGTTTAACTGTCCAGCATGTACACAGAACCCTCCATGCTCAGCAAGAGAAACAACCCAACTCACATATGGACAAAATATTTGAACAGACATTTCCCCCAAAAAGACACACACCGCCCACTGAGCCGGGGAGAGGACGCACGGCCGCCCACCGAGCCCACCCGGGAGAGAATGCACAGCCACCCACTAATGTGGGAGAGGATCCTCAGTATCACTGGTCACTAGCAGAGTGCGGATTAACACACGCTGGGGCGCCGCTGGGCAAGGGCCCGGACAGCCGCGGTCCACTGCACCGCCCCAAGTGCGGGAAGGTAAAACGCGCAGGCGCTTGGGAAAGCAGTTGGGAACCGTCTCAGCAAAATTAAACACAAATTTATAGATGACCCAGCAAGCCCACACCACCGTATCCAGCTAGACATATGGAAACATGACCACCTGAGAAGGTGCACCAGAGCGTGCCCAAACCCGCAACGACTCGTGCTGTCAGCTCAGGAACAGGGAAGCAAAAGGAGCGAAGCAGTGACGCACGCACCTTGCAACGAATGAGCTGGGGAAACACGGAGCCGAGAAGCCAGATGCCGAGACCACACAGCACAGGACTCCAGGTACTGAGCTGCCCACAGAAGGCAAGTAGATTCGTGGGGGGCCAAGGCGTCTTTCTGGGGTGATGGACAGTTCTAAAACGGAATTGTGCTGTTTGCACAAGTACGATGTACAATTTGAAAAATCCCTGAATTGTGCCCTGAAGACAGGCGAACGCTGTGGTGTGGCTGTTACACCTCTTGAAGGTGCACCCCGCATGCAGGATGCAAGAAGGACGCAGTCTGAGGGCTAAAATCCACAACAGTCCCACCCTGGTCCACCTGGCAGCACCAACCCCCTTCCACCTGTTTTTGGGGGCACAGAGAATTGGAGGGGCCCTTCCGGCTGGACTGCAGGACCTGAGATCAGCATTTATGCCAGACTAGGAAGGGCTCAGGCTTCGATCTCCTCCCTCACGTCCTGTGCAAAGTTCATTTTGGGTCCAACATGAGAGTATGGTTTTTGAAATTAATTTTATATCAACTTACATGAATAAAAACAGAACATGTCTTTATCAACACAACAAACACAGCACACAGTTAACACAATCCGTGGAAAAAGGGAATCTCTGTCAACAAGATCATACCTCAAATCTAACCTCCCAGTTCACAGAGGTCCCAAGACTCCAGTTTACATTCAGACAAAATCTGACCTAAAAGGATTCCACTGAGAAAGAAACCCACGGATCCTCCTGTGCTGGCTCCCATTCAGGACACACGGCAGCAACAAGCCCAGAGCCGCGCCACCCTCCCGGCCACCGCCCATCTGGGCTCCTGCTCAGCCCTGGGCACAGGCTGCTGCCCCAAACAACCTGGTGCCCTTCTCCCCAGCACAAAAGCCTGCTGACACCACTTGAGGGAAACGCAGACTGCTGGTCCCATCTCCCAAATCCCTAGCACCCACGGACAGACAGATGGGTCAGGGGCTAAGAGTGACCCTGGAAGGCAGGTCGTGCCCCCACAGACGCAGCTACTGGCCACCCAGCCCTTGGGGGCAAAATGCTCTGGCACACTGTCCAGGGTGGTGGGCAGGTCTCCGGGGGTCGTGAGGGATGTGAGAACTCGTCCCTTCCTCCCTGTGCGCCGCCGCCTCATGAAGCCCTCAGGCACCTGCACACTCCACTGAACAACCCCCGCCCATCATCCCCATCTACCCCCGCCCGGCATCTGCTACACCGGCTACAGAATCAGAAAGCCCCAAGGAGGCGAGTCCCCTGGCCGGGGCCAGTGGTCAGCACGCCCATGTCCACTCGTCCACTGCGTCTGGGCAGCAGGAAGGCGGCCCTGTTCATCCACACAACACACTGCCTTCTTCACTCTGCTAGGTTAAGTCCACACGCAGAGAGATTTACACCCTGGGGGCCGCTCTGAGTCCACACGGGAAGGGTGGAAACACCTGACCCTGAGACCGCTACTGTAGGAATGCGGGCGAGCCACGGAAGCAGAGACACGGGAAGGGCCCCGCCGGCTCCAAGTGCCCGGGCTGGGAAGCGCGGGCTGTGACGGCCTCGGGGCGGGGACCCCCTCGGGTGGCTTCTTCGGGACTTTTGTGGAGCCTGCGGACACGGGGAGGAGGCCGCTGCCCGGGCAACCAGACTGCGGCTGTGGTGGGGGAAGGGGGGCTGGGCCTTCTGGAAGGAGCCGGTGCAGCCTCTCAGAGCGAGGAGCAGCTGGGGCGGCAGAGGGCGCGGGGGGCGGGGCGGCGGGGGACGCACCTTGCGCTGGCAGAAGGTCGAGCAGTAGTTCACTTTGTGGCAGCCGGTGCACTCGCTCAGGGCCTCCCGGCCGCAGTTGACACAGGACTGCTGTGAGAAGGACACAGGCCGGTCAGTGTCGTGGGGACGCCCCAGCCGGTCGGCCTGTGACACGTGCCCCCACCCCCGTGACGCCCAGACGCACCTTCCCATCACCCCCACGGCCAGCTCCTCTCAGCGGCACACTCCTTGCACCCGCGAGAGATGGGGACACAGCAACGTGGGGCCTTTTCCAAAGTCCGAGGAATTTCATTTGTGCCGAGTAAGCAGGGGGAGCCCAACCCAGGAGCGACTGAGTTCTCAGGCCCTGGTAACATCTCCCGCGTGCCTGGAGCTTTCCCTTTGGGCTAACTGAGGACTTCACACAGGTACCTGACCTGTGCACGGGCAGTCGGAGCGGTGCAGCCAGTGCAGGTGCCGTGCAGCCGTGGGCTCTCCCGCCAACTCTCTGGCACAGGCCGGGGCACCGTCCCAACGACACTGACGGCAGGCCGGGGCCTGTGCGCACAGGTCAGCGGGTCAGGGTGTGAGCGGCACCCACGGAAGTCACACGCGCCTCTTTACACAGGGAGCCCCCGCTCTGCGTGGATGAGCAGACCACAGCTAGCCTCTGGCAGAGTTCTGTTCTGAACTTCAGCTTCCTTCTTCGCAAGACGTTATATTTACCACGTGTAACGTTTTTCCACTCTTAAACCGCCCGCAATGTGTACTTGCTCACTTCCAGAAATATGAGCGTTAGCTGGAATCCGAGGTGCTCATTTAGTATGCCCCCCTGCCTCTACTTTATAAGGCAAAATACATAAAGGAAAGAAAGAAGAGACAGTCTATAACCCCGGACAGAAATTTCTCCAGGGAGAGCAAAGGCTTCCCAGGGTTCATGGCACCCTGAGTGGAAGCAGAGGTGTGGCTGGGTGTGGGGCCCTCGAAGAGAAGAGGCTCCGCAGGAGGGTGCCTGCGCACACGGACTGCATACCCAGGGGAGCCTTCCTCACTGTCCTCGGGGGAGGCTTCATGCTGGAGGAGGCAGGGGGGCTTAAGTCCTCTCGCAGGACGTCTGTCCCTGCCAACAAGAGAGCACGCACTCATCTGGACCTTCCAGGTTTGCGCTCCAAGCGCCTAGCAGTGTCAGTAGGAGGCAGTGACTCTGAACTGAATCAAAATGTCACAATGAACAGATGGAAAGGGGCTTGTGCCTCTAGCACACGTGAGTGCTCTCAACTCCTCAGCCTTCCCAAAGCACACTGTGGGAAAATTCTTTTTTAACCAGAAAACACTCTGTGGTTGGCACTTGAGTCCGCCACCTCAGCTTCAGGTACAGAGACGGACAGACACGTACAGAAACACCGAGCGCGGTCTGTACACGCAGGTTGTTGAGTACACGGCTCCGTCTGTCCGCTGAGGGGCCCAGAAGCTACGACGCCCCAGTGGCGAGGAGCACGCCGGCCCCCGGAACTTGGTTCCCCAGACCGTCCTCCAGTGAAGGAACCAGGGCTCCTGGAGAAAAGGCTGATTCCAGGGCTGGGGCAGGAGATGCCCAGCTAGGTCTGGGGGCCGTCTAGCGCCAAAATGCACACCGAGGGGAGGATGCCAAAGGGACCCAGGTGCCAAGCAAGAGCTCCCAACGGGCAGAGGTGCAAAAATGTGAGCAAAATAAGGAACACAGGTCTAGGGTACAACCCAGAGTATAAAACACATGTAAAGGGGCGCCCGGGTGGCTCAGTTGGTTAAGCAACTGCCTTCGGCTCAGGTCATGATCCTGGAGTCCCGGGATCGAGTCCCACATCGGGCTCCCTGCTCAGCGAGGAACCTGCTTCTCCCTCTGGCCCTCCCCCCTCTCATGTGCTCTCTCTCTCTCTCATTCTCTCTCAAAATAAATAAATAAATCTAAAAAAAAAAAAAAAACCATGTAAATGAGCTCCTCCCAATACGAACAAACAAATGGATAGAAAACAAATCTCTGGTGCAGAAGAATTCCAAAAATACACCAGGATTCTGCACCCACCCTCCCTGTGCCCCCCAGGAGGGGGACGGGACTCACCCCCTCCCCAGGCTGTACTAGTACAGTGACTCCGTGTGCAAAGGGGAAAGTCATTTTTATGGAGAAACCTCTGAGCCTACATACTGCCTATGACCTGCCCCCCAAAAGCCTATGCTGAGCCTTTGGGTATTGGGGCCCTTTAGGATTAGATCAGGTCCTTAGGGTGGGTCCCCTGAGGGACTGGTGCCCTGAAGACACCAGAGAGCACTCTGTGCCCCAATGTGAGCACACGGTGAGAATGTGGGGGCCTGTAGCCTGGGAGAGGCCCCTCCGGGACCTGACCCTGCAAGCCTGCAGGCGCCCTGATTCAACCCCAGCCCAGATGACTGTCTGGGCTCCACCGCCCACGTGTATCCCTCTTCCATTGGCGCACTTCTGTGCCTCCTATGCTTAGCTCTTAAAACCAAGGATGAGGCTAAGGAACAGTGAAGCGGCCAATGCCAGCTGGGCATAGACGCGTCAGCCAGGAGCCCATGGCCATGGGCCCAGGACGAGGCCACAGGCTGGCGTCTGCCGGACACTATGCCCTTGACAGGGAAGGGCATCTACTCTTCTGCCCCGTTTGTTTAAAGTCTGCTGAGCTAATTACATGAATGCAAATGACTCCTGATGAAAACTGCAAAAATCTGAACTGCCTCAGCTGGGCTAAATTTGATTTTTTTTTCTTTGTAATTCCAAATAAAATGTCGAAGCAGGCAGTCCTAGGCCTTCCCTCCCTCTGCTGCAAACAGCAGCATTCTTGCTCAGGGAGCCCACCTCTTCCTGACCCCTACAGCCTTCACTGGTTGTGTCTTGTCCCCTGACCGCCCAGTACTCCTGGAGAAATACTTTGGGAGGGGTTCTACCAGGATCTTCCCAAATAGCCAGCAGTGTTTGTTTTTCCAACCCTGAACGTGTTCCCACGCTGCAGTCACACCGAAGGGCCCCTTGTGATGGCACAGAAACTTGTGTTCTCTGTGGGTGGGAGCTCCGGGAAGGAAGATCTGTTTCACACTGGCCCATGTCAAACACTCCTGTCATGGCAAGTCCCACAACAAAGAGACACTTAGCGGTCTCCCCACGTAAAGCCTAGATGGCCCACAGCCCTGCCCGCCCCTCCTCCCACCTCACGGAACTCTGCCCCCTCCCGTGGGCCACTCTTGTGGCTGGGACATGTGCTCTGGGCCTCCCCATCCGCACACTGCTTGAGTGGGGGCCTTCCCGCCCTTCTGAACCCCTCCAGGCCCCATAAGGTCCCTGAGAGCAGGCTCTCCACGGGGTCATGCAAATGCGAGGCCCCCTTACTTCACAAGAGCCCAGCATGCAGGCACGGCCATCACAGGGCCACAGAGGTCAGATTTGTCATCCTGTGTGTGGAACTGGGCTCTGCAAGCACACGTGACGTCACCAGGCTATCCACAGGGCAGGGCTCCATGAGTTTGGGCTGCGCGGTACCTCCACCTGGCCTCCCCCATCAGGCACTCAGCTCTCCACAAAATTATTTAAGAATGCCATGTCCTGGGGCGCCTGGGTGGCTCAGTGGTTAAGCGTCTGCCTTCGGCTCAGGTCATGATCCCGGGGTCCCGGGATCGAGTCCCGCATCGGGGTCCCTGCTCCGCCGGAAGCCTGCTTCTCCCTCTCCCACTCCCCCTGCTTGTGTTCCCTCTCTCGCTGTGTCTCTGTCAGATAAATAAATTCTTTAAAAAAAAAAAAAAAGACATGTCCTGTCTATGTCTCGAGAGAAAGGACAGACACGCCCATCACAGGTCCAGCCAATTTCGCAGGTGCAGGACACTGACAGGTAACAGATGCACTCAGTGGGGAAGATGCAGGCCCAGACGTGGCCCTCCCATTAAATCGCTTAACATTTTTCCACCCGACGGGATTTTAAGGATAAAGGCATTTTGTGTCCGTTTCTTTCTTAAAAATACATAAATTTACAAATAAAATCCAAAGTCCTGCCTTGTGGGGGTGGCGACCTCACCAATTCAGCCACGGGCAAGAGACCCGCCCCTGTGTCATGGACTTTTCATAACAGGAATTCGGTTTCTGGATCCTTTGAGTGTGAACCGAGAATGCAAATGCTCTCACATGTGAGAAATAAAACACTCGGCGGCCCCCACGCCAAGCTCTACACCCCCGAACGTTGCCGCGACCCCTGGCATGGCAGAAGCTACCTCTGCTGTGTCTCCATGTGCTTTCAAGTCTGTCCCACTTGTCACTGGAGAATTCTTACCAAGAGGAGAAAATACATCTACGTCAACTACAAAATCTACTCTGTGAAAGAAAAGCCCACAAAAATTAGTGATGAGGGATGCCTGGGTGGCTCAGTCGGTTAAACATCTGCCTTCGGCTCAGGTCATGAACTCAGGGTCCTGCGATCGAGCCCCCTTGTCAGGGCTCCTTGCTTGTTGGGAAGCCTGCTTCTCCCTCTCCCTCTGCCTGCCACTCCCTCTACTTTGCTCTCTCTCTGTCAAATAAATAAAATCTTTAAAAAAAAAATTAGGATGAAAAATCTAAAACTAGAACACTCCCTCCACTCATTTCCTTGCCAGCACGAAGCTGAGATTTCTGTCCGACTGGTACCACCTGAACCAGTCTGACGGGAGCTCTGTGTTCACAGGGATGGGGTCCCAGCACCCCTGGCCAGGGGGGAGTGCACAGAGCACAGGGTGACCCCAAACACTAGGTCTCCGCAGCACAGAACCATCCTGTGCCAACCACCAAGGGTGGGGCACCAACCAGGTCCTTGGCTGGGGGCCCGCAATTCAGTGACCATTCTAAGAACACAAATGTCTGTTTTCCAGTCTATGCTTCTACATACAATTTGAATTAGCAAAACGCAGACATTCCTTCCATCTCATTCCCCAGACACTGCCTGGGCAGCTGTGGAGAGACATGCTCTTCTTCCCAGAAGGATGCTGCTGGACAGATGGAAGCACCAGCTGTGGAGTTGGCAGCTGCCCTGTGTGTGGCCTGGGCCCCAAGACCCGGGGTAGGATGCCACAGCTTTTCTTCACAGCTCAGATTCCCTCCCCACCCTTTAAAATGATCCCTCAGGGGGTGTCTGGGTGGCTCAGTTGGTTAAGCGACTGCCTTCGGCTCAGGTCATGATCCTGGAGTCCTGGGATCGAGTCCCATATCGGGCTCCCTGCTCAGCGGGGAGTCTGCTTCTCTCTCTGACCCTCCCCCCTCTCATGCTCTCTCTCTCTCTCTCATTCTAATAAATAAATAAATAAAATCTTTTTAAAAAAGTTTAAAAAATAAATAAATAAAATAAAACTGGGGGAAAGATGCCAGCAACACCCATTCAGCCATCTGAGCAGTACCTGCATCCTTAATACGAGACCCAATGAATGATCATAAGTTTAACCTTTTACAATCACATTGACTTTTTAAAAGTCCCTCCCCGGGCGCCTGGGTGGCTCAGTTGGTTAAGCGACTGCCTTCGGCTCAGGTCATGATCCTGGAGTCCTGAGATCGAGTCCCACATCGGGCTCCCTGCTCAGCAGGGAGTCTGCTTCTCCCTCTGACCCTCTTCCCTCTTGTGCTCTCTATCTCTCATTCTCTCTCTCTCAAATAAATAAATAAAATCTTTAAAAAAAAATAAAATAAAATAAAAGTCCCTCCCTTTTTTTTTTTAAAGTAGGCTCCATGCCCAGCGTGGAGCTGAACACAGGGCTTGAACTCATGACCCTGAGATCAAGACCTGAGCTGAAATCAAGAGTCAGATGCTTAAATGACTGAGCCACCCAGGTGCCCCTAAAAGTACTTTTTCTAAGCAAACACAAATACCCAATTTAAGAATGGGCAGAGGGCCTGCAGAGACACAGCTCTATCGTAGACATGCTGGTGGTCAAGCAGCTGGGCATCATCGAGCTGCTGAGGAGATGCATAGCACAGAGAGATACCCCCTCACACCCACCGGATGGCTGGAACCTCACCATCTGCAGGACAATACCAAGACTTCAGACGGGAAGGAGAACACAGAGAAACGGGTCATTAAAAACAGTTACAAAAGTAGTTACAAAAACAGTGACTAAAAATCTTCCAAACTGAATCAAAACCAACATGAAGACCTGAGCTTAACATGTTAAACGGGCCTCTTTACTTTCCATATACTGTTGCCTTGAAGGGTCTCCCTGTGGCCCTGGGGACACGGGAGGGTCTGCCCCAACTCGGGTGAGTCAGCTCCTGGACACACTGAACCTCTTGCCAGAAGAGCGCCTTTCAACAGTGAGCCATCTTCTCCAGAGCCCACATCCCCACCTCCTCCTCCACAGGCTTGCTCACACCACTGTGTCCCTCCCCAACTCAGCCGGGGTCAGGCCCCAACAACCCCGAACCCACTGGCCAACCCTGAGCCTGCTCACCTGGCCGTGTCCGTTCCTTTCCACAGAAGCCACTTGCTCACATCTCCCCCTCACTCCCTCTGCCTCCCAACCCACCCAGGTGCTTCCCCACGTGGCTGAGTCTGGTCCGGCGTGCCTCCTGCTTCTAGGGAGCTGGGAAGTGCTCACGTCTTCATCACGATGACCATCCCACCTCTGCGTGTCTGACCACACCTCACAAAAACAAATGCCAGTGCTCCGAACACATCAGCATGCGCAAGCACGTCACAGCCACATGCTAAACACCAAAGACAAAGACAAGTTCCAGACGCAGCCAGGGAGGGAGACCCGTTATGTGGAAGGGATCAAGGATCCTGCTGCAGGACGCAGGGGTGGCATCTTCAAAGAGCTGGGGACGACAGACGTCGAAAGCACTCCAACTGTGCTTCAGAAGGAAAGGGGGTATGGTGGCGGCGCCACGTACACAAGGCACACTGTGCCAAGAAATGTAGAGGCGCAGGGCCCAGCGGCGCCGAGAGCACCTGCAGCGGCTAACCAGAAGGCTCCGCACATGTGGAGTGCATGCCAGTGCATGAAGGCAGTCTCAGTAAGTGTCCAAGCGTCACCACAGAGCCTCTGACTGGAACGGGATTTGGTCTGAAACCACTGATGCTAAGAAATCTAGAAAATTCTAAAATGTTTGAGAACCTAGGAGTCATTATCTTTGGGTAAAGAGATTAAGATTTTTTTCCCTACTTTTCTCTTTTCTATAAAATTCATTGATTATGTATTAATTTAAGATTATAGTTTTTTAAAAACTATTTTAAATGTATCTGCTTCTTCAGAAGAACCAACATTTTTCTTCCTTGGGAAAAAAATCATATGTTAAGAAATCGTTTAAAAAATTAAGAACCCATGGGGCGCCTGGGTGGCTCAGTCGTTGGGCGTCTGCCTTCAGCTCGGGTCATGATCCCAGTGTCCTGGGATCGAGCCCCACATCAGGCTCCCTGCTCCACTGCGGGAGGCCTGCTTCTCCCTCTGCCACTCCCCACTGCTTGTGCTCTCTCTCCCTCTCTGTCTCAAATAAATAAACAAAATCTTTAAAAAAATAGTAGTAAATAAATAAATAAATAAATAAAATAAAAATTTAAGAACCCAGGGGCACCTGAGTGGCTCAGTCATTAAGCGTCTGCCTTCAGCTCAAGTCATGATCTCAGGGTCCTGGGATCAAGTCCCGCATCGGGCTCCCTGCTCAGCGGGGAGTCAGCTTCTCCCTCTGCCGCTCCCAGGGCTCGTGCATGCTCTCTCTCACTCTCTATCTGACAAATAAGTAAATAAAGTCTTCAAAAAAAAAAAAAAAAAACAACCAAGAACCTGAAAAGCTCTTCTTTCCTCTGATCTATAAAAAGTAGAAATAAACGAACGGAAATTTTCACATACAGATTTTGTGAAAAAATATCAATCTGACTTTTGTTTAACAAGTCAAAGTCCTGGGGCACCTGGGTGGCTCAGTTGTTAAGTGTCTGCCTTCGGCTCAGGTCATGATCTCAGGGTCCTGGGGTCAAGCCCCACATCGGGCTCCCTGCTCGGCAGAAAGCCTGCTTCTCCCTCTCCCTCTGCCCTTCTCCCTGCTTGTGTACGCTCTCTCTCACTCTCTCTGTCCAATAAATAAATAAAGTCTTTTAAAAAAACAAAACAACCACATGGCTGATGTGCTCCCAGCCTCCACCCCAACCCTGTGCATCCAAGCCCACTAGCAGAGCTGCTCCACACTCCTCGGACCTCACTCCGCTGCACACAGACCGCTCCTGCAGGTGCATGCCAGGGAGAGCCACTCCGGCAGGTTGTAGTTGGGCCACCTGTGCCCACGGTCGAGGGAAGCCTGGCCCTCTATAATGTAAAGGCTCTGGAGAAAAGCCAAAGGGGCTGAGCCCTCTCTGTGCTACAGCGACCAGTTGCCATGGGAAAGCACTCTGTCCCAAGGCTCTGTGAACCCTGATGCCACGCTTGAGATCCTACTTCTGAAGAACGCCCTGGAAGCTGGAAGGGAAATGCCCACAATGGCACCCAAGGGGCCAGGGAGGTGGTCTCCGTGGGGCACCGAGATGCAGGTGGAGGGGATGGGATGGGAAAGGGGGTGGTTAACGGGGAAGACGCACATCCGCCCACCAGCTGCCTCAAAGACAGCCCAAAGGAGGCCTCTCCAAACTCAGTGGAGCCCAAGACACGTTTTCATCGTATGCCAATAGTCTAAAAAAAGTATACGCAATGTCTGTGACAGGTGAGTGTCCAAAAACAAGTGTCCACGGGCTGGTGTGGAACATCTTTTCCCTTTTGAGATAAACCAATCCTATTTATAAGAGCACAAACACCTGAGCAGTAAGAGCGTTCAACATTCTATGAGAAAAGCTTAATTTGTAAACAATTCTCCAGTCTCGCTCTTCCAGAAAGGTGGGGAATGTAAGCCAGTGTAGACACCGCATGGCAGGCCCCAGAGCCAGCAGAAGGCATGGGTCGGGCAGCCACAGACCAGTGCTTTCTGCTCAGCCTGACATTACCTCTTTCCGCTCTGTCTCCGCCTGGGCTCTGGCCTGGGCCACGGCGGCTTCTCGGTAGGAGCTGGCCTGCTTGGCTTGCTCGAACAGCGTCTTCAGCTGCTGTGCCGTACTGAGCAAGGAGTTGACCATCTCTTCCAGGTACAGCCAGCTCCGCTGTTCTGACATTTCCAGCCCGTTGACCACCGTGGGCGACACAGCTTTGGTGGGGGTGGAGGGTGGAACTGCCAAGGCCGGCAGAGAGGTCAACACTAGAACGGTTGGAAACCAAAATAAAACAAGAAATCATTATATTTCCTCCATTAAAACTTCTCATCAAATGTTGGAAAGTGTGGGGGCAAGTGACCCCAGGCATAAGTACATGACCTCTCCCTAAAACGCTAGAAGATGGAGAGACATTCCTACATTCACAGCGCTGCACTTAAACGTCCCTCATGCCGCCACCCGCAAGCACCTGTGAGACCCAACCCTGTGCGTACAGGGCCAGAAGCCAGATGCTCACAGACAGAAACCACGACAAAGTGAGCCCTGAGCAGGTGGCCCTGAAGCATCAGATGGTGTGGGACAAGGACAGCCTGAGGCAGTGACTCCGGTTACACCACGTGAACATATGAGATGAAAGAACGAGGGCGCCCGGGCTCCGTCTCTGCTCACGTCGAATCCTCCCCGACGTCTGTGGCCACACATGGGGTCCTGATTCGGGGTCACGGGCGTCAGGCTTCTCACGGAGGGGGGACAACGTTACAAAGATGGAAAGGAGGAAACTGGGAGGGACCTGTGGTTTGGATGGGAACTGGACCCTCAATACACGTGCCAGAGCTGGGACACCCATGTACACGCGTCCCACCTGTCCACTGGGAGGGCCTGTAGGCAGGGACACCCCCAGAGCAGTGAGCACCCCGGCCTTCCAGGACAAAAGCCCCCGATGTGCCCCACGCAGGAGATGTGGGCAGGGGGAGGGAATAATGAAGCAAGTGCTCGCGAACAAGAAGTTTGTGCGTCTGCAGCGCTATGAGTTTCCGTGTTGCCGCATCATCTGTGAAGGCTAAAGTGTACAGCCACCCACCAGCTGGGATCACGAAGCTCCCTTGAAAAAAAAGTGTAGAGACAGCAATGTGTCCAAAATGTGTGGTTAAGTGAGACATGGAACCAAAATGCACGTGTGGCACATCATCATTAGGTCTTGGAGCGGGAGTGACGGCAACACTAGTCCTTCCACGTTTCATGGACACCGAGTGCTCCGTGCCGGCCCCCAAGACGCTGGCCCGGACGCAGGGAGAGCACACCCTCATGGGCAAGTCCCAGCAGTAGCGTGGGCCTCCACGTGGGCCGTCTGCTGCCACACTGTGTGTGGACGACCGGGTGGGCCGAGCTCCAGTGGAAGCACGGTCACAGACACGGGCAGCGGATCGGACTTCGCCAGCCCCCAGTCAAGCGTCTCAACAGGACAAACCCACACAAAAGTTACTCCACTTAGAAATTCTGTCCTAATGAGCAACTCTGAGGATACCAGCCTGCAAGTGCGGGAACTCTCTCAAACCAACCTATTTTAGGATGAGATGTTGGCAACGCGGCCTCTGGAAACGGTGCGATCTGACAGCTGTCCTGGTAGCCTGGGTAGTGGGGCTCCGGGTGGCCGACTCTGCACGGGGGCTGCACACCCGCCTCTTGTACTGTTGGGGACACAAGGGACAAGAGAGCCTGCTGACCCGGCCGTGGCTGCAGCTGCACCACGCCCGGGGTGAGTCGGGACGGCAGAGATGCTGGAACTGGGGTATACCGGGCGACATCAGTCTCAGCCACGTCTCTCCACCTTCTGGCCGTGGCTCCTGGAGCACCTACCAGCATACCATGGTCCCAGGGGCTTGTGCCGCGTGGCTGCTGGAGAGCAGGAGTCGGCGGACTGGAAGCATTTTCTGTCACACTGATCGACCCGCACCCCCGCAGGTCTGCCCGGCGCCCTCCTGCACCCACCGATCTGAAGCCCCTGCTCCAGGCTGCTGCCACTGCGCCCAAGGTCAACAGAGGTGACAGGTGCCGCCCACAGGGCGGGTGCTGAGGACAACTCACCCGTGGCTCCCGCGAAGACATCGCCCTGGGCCGGGCTCTCTGAAATGACAGCGGTAGCCTCCACGGTGGATGCCCGGTCAAAGGTCAGCGCGCCCGAGGTAGTGATCTGTCCTGAGGGGGTCACGGTGACTGGAAAAGCAGAAGCGCTGTTTACCACCCGGCTCTCCCACAGCGCAGGCCAAAGCCTGGACACAGCACATGCCCTAGATGCCTCTGCAATGGCCGGAAGAGACCAGTGACCCTCAGCGCCTCGGGGAGGGGACCCGGAGCTGAGGCATGGGCAGCAGGCTCTCCACAACACCCTGCTCACATCCGACCTGGCAAAAGAGGCAGGAGCGGCTTCCTCAGAAAACAAACATAAAGCGTAAGCCTGCAGCACTTGTGCTCCTGTCGCCTGGGGCTGCCCGAGTCTGCCCAGCCTGCCCGCACTGCGGGGCTGCCTCGGCGGGCACCCAGCACGGGCGCTAACCGCTGATGCGTTGTCCCCGGGATTGCCTCGCCCCACTCCATAAATCCCTGCTGCCTATTCTGAGCTTAAAACACAGACCTTCCCTCTGCCCTCCCATCTTTGAGACAACAGTGTGGGCCGTTCACACGCGAGGCACGTGCCCGAGGCTGCGAAGACCAAAACCCAAGAACCTTCACTGGGAAGGTGCCCACACGGGTGCCCCCTCGGAGGAGGAGCCGCTCCAGGCTCGTTTCATTAGAAAATATGCGTGGGCACCCGCAAAGGGTCTACGGAGATGAGGGAGCCCCCCCGAGGGTGTTCCCCATGCAAATAGCGAGGCAAGCCCCAGGGGTCAAGAGGTCGGAGGGGCCACGGCTCCATCTCACTCAAACCCACATGCGGTGGCAGCTGTGGCGGGAAGCAGCGTGATGTTCTTGGGGGCCTCCTTCTTCACGGGGGTTGTGGGCAGCTCGTTCTCCTTCTTGCGCCTTTTGTAGGGGACAAAGAGCCTGACGGGACCACTCTGCAGGGAGAGGCACAGTGAGGGGGAGGATGGAGCTGCCCCACACTCCACTGCTGACAAAGCGACCCGCTCATCTCCCTCCCATGCTAGGGGCACAGCGAGGCTCGTGAAGGCGGGAAGCTGCAAAGACTGACCTCTCCTCAGGCCCCAAGTTCCTCACAATGACAGAAAAGATACTTTTTAAAAGAATATGTGAATAACACTGTTTGAACACAAGAAAAAGTATCATCAACATACGGGATTTTTAGGAACTGCAAGGAGACAGAAAACAAAAGGGAATGAGTTAAGGAGAAAGAAGAGCCCCCTGCCCAAAACGAGAACATTCCCCAGAAAGGAGGAGGCTCTGTGGTCACCAACTACAGGAGAAACCTCAAAACACCAGCAACCACAGAAGGGACGGTGACAAGCACGGAGCAGATCTGGGAGGGGCGGGGGCAACCGACAGCTGCAGACCCCAAGGGCCGGACCATCTTGCTGGACGTCACCATGCTCGGGGGGCGTGAGACCCTCGGGAACTGACACAGGCTCACTGCTGCGGGCCCCTCCCCTCAATTTTTCACTTGGGTCTTCTGTTTTTCAGTTCTAGAATTTCCTCTTGGTTCTTTTTTTGTAATTCCTGTCTCGTTATGGAGAGTGTCCATCTGCAGAAACACGGCCATCCTCCCTCCTGCTCTGCCCGGAGCACACGTGGAGGCCGGATCCCCAGCGGCTGTTTCTGCAGTAAGTGCGGTCACTGGGGGCCCTGACTCGAGGGGTCCGAGCGCTCACTCCATCTGCCACGTGAGGCCGCCAGGGGGTCTCGCCTGTGAGAAACCAATTTCTGGGGTTGAAGGCCACCCCCCGCCCCTCCTGGCCCGGCTGTGGTGTTCTGCGGTGGACGCCTGAGCCACTGAGACATCGTCCATGGATTCTTCAGACGGGTTCCGTGAACACAGACGGTACCGGGAGGCCTCTGTCAAAGTGACGTCTCGGCCGTGTCTGCCGTGCGTTTTCTCCTGTGTGGCTCCCATTTTCCATCTGTGTGTCTTATACTCGAGCAACGCTGAGACTGACTCCTTCTCTGCAGGGCTGCCTGCTGCCGCTCATGGGCTTAGTGCCCTGGCTACACCCCAGCAGAGTCCCACCGTGGGAATCTCACCCGGCAGAGTCCCACCCAGCGGAGTCCCACCAATGGAGTCTCACTGGGCGGAGTCCCACCTGGCAGAGTCCCACAGGAGGATGCTGCCCTGCTTCCAGCGTCTGCTCCAACAGTGCCCAAGGCATAAACTGCTCCACTGTCTGATCCCAGCTGCATTAAGGCTCCTTCATGGGGAGTTTTCGAGACAAACCTTTGAGGTCTGTTCTTATCCCAGGACTCTTGTGAGCTGTAGTTTTCCCTGGTTCTCTGGTTTAGCCTGTTGCTCTCAGGGTCTGCCAGCCTCCCCTTCAGGGCTCACGTCCATACAGCACTGCTCCGGAGCTGGGGGCAGGAATGGTCCTCACGTCTGTCTGAGCGACAGCCCTGCTTTAGCGGCAAAGCTCTGGAGAATGGCAGAGCTCTGGTCTCGGTCTGCCTCCCATGGCATGGACCTCCACACTAGGAGCGAGCTGGGGTGAGGACGCTGAGGTACAGTACTCCTACCCTGCCACTCCTGAGTGAAGCCTCTGCCCTCTGAGAGAGGTTGGGTGCAGGAAGGCAGCCCCGATCTCTCGGTCACACTTGCCCAGAATTTAGTTTCTGCCACTCAGAGCCAGGGTTGGGCATGCCGGTACCCGGTGCTGAAGGGAGAGGGAGTGGGGCTCCCTTTACAGGGAGCTGGAGGGAAGTGGGAGTGAGCAGGTATACGGAGCTCTTCATACTAAGGTCCCTGAAGTGGAAGCCAGAGTGTTAGAATTTGCAAGTTCGATTCACCAAGTTTTAGTTTATGGACTGTGCCTTTGGTTTCACGTCTGAGAAACCCTAGGCCATGAAGTTCTCCCCTGTTTTCTTCCACCAATGTTAGTTTTATGTTTTGGATAAATCTGGATCTGTGATCCATTTTGAAGTCATTTGTATATAAAGCGCCAGGTTGAGGCCAAGGTGCGTCTCTAGGCCCACGGCCATCTGGTAGTGCCAGCAAATTGCGCATGAGCACACACGGAGCCTCTCGCTTTACCGACACCGTACGTCTTCATGACGGCAGCCATGGAACAGGGCTTAATCAGCACGTGCTGGGACTCCTCCAATTTTACTCGTTTTCTCCAAATCGCTTTGGTTGTCCTATTTCCTTTGCCTTTTTGTATACATTCTAAAGTCAGCTTGTTTAAAGCTCCACAGAACCCTGCTGGGATTTGGATAGGAACCGCGTGAAGCCTACAGAACACTGTGGGAAGAACTGGTGCTCTCTGCGCTGTCCTCCACCCCACGGGCTTGGCGCATCTGCCCCAGGTCTTCCCGAGTTCCTCTCTACAGCACTTTCTAGGTTTTTTGTACGCGGATTCGGTACATGTTCTGTTAGATTTACGTGTATTTCAGCGTTTTGGAGTAACTGCAAATAATTTAAGTACTCTAAACTTCCAGATGGAACAAATTCCCTCTTATTGCTCTTTTTCTCCCTACAAGATCCCCAAGAATCTCACTACTAGTTTCTCCAGGTGAATTTTAAAGTCATTTAATTTTCACAAAAATATCCCATTGTTGATTCCACTAGAATCACACTCAATCTATACAAGAACTAAACGATCTAAGAATATTTAGTTTTTGGGGCGCCTGGGTGGCTCAGTCGTTAAGCATCTGCCTTCGGCTCAGGTCATGATCCCAGGGTCCTGGGATCGAGCCCCGCATCGGGCTCCCTGCTCTGCCAGAAGCCTGCTTCTCCCTCTCCCACTCCCCCTGCTTGGGTTCCCTCTCTCGCTGTGTCTCTCTCTGTCAAATAAATAAAATCTTAAAAAAAAAAAAAGAATATTTAGTTTTTCCACCCAAGAACATGATGTCTCTCCAATTAAATGTTCGTATCTTCTAATTATTAACTAGATGAATAGTCAAAATAAAATCAGGAAATCTCATTAAGCAGCTTCTAAAATTTGAAAATATTTTTAAATAGAATTCAATGCTAAGGAAGATTGAATACTGGGATATTCATACGTTACAAATCAGTATCACGTTTTTGAAAGCAACATACGTTAAAGTCAATGAAAAATAATTATTCTTTTCAAAACTGTTAAGGATTTAGGATAAAAAATATTTCAAAAGATATTAAAAGCTCCTTATAAATAGTTTCAATGCAGTATTCTTACGAGATACCGTTAAAAACATAGAATATAAAACAGCACACATATACTTCTTATATCCATGAACAGAAAGTGTGTGTCTGGTTTTGGGTTAGATTGGTGATGCTACAGGAGCTTTCTGTTGTCCAGACAAGCCCCTTCAAGTGCTTTGACTGGCGGGCAGCCTCGCGCATCACCCGAGGCATCAGAGCAACGTCGGAAAAGCAGAATTTGAGTGAGAAACTGATAACAAGCCCCAGCTAGGCTGTGGTGCCAGGGACACAGGGACATACAGCCCTCGAGCTGCGTGCACGGCAGGAGGACAGGACAGGGCACGCGAGCAGGGAGCTGAGGGTGGGCACACGGAGCCGCTGAGCGAGCCGGAGACTCACCAAGGTCATGTCGTCACAGCATGCGGCACAGGTGCAAGATGCAGCGTGAGGGTTTAGGATCCCGTCCTGAAACGCAGGTGCGTGAGAAAGTCAGGCTTCCGCATGAGCCATCGACGCTAGAGGAGAGCAACTAGTTCTGCCACTGCTCTGCCGCTCATGCAGTTCAAACCCTGTCGCTTCCAGAAACTGACCTCTCCCCCACACTTCTGTACATTATCAGCGGCAGGATCCACAGTTTCCCCTCCAGGAGGTGAAAAGGTTCTACGGACATTATTTCTTGATCAACACCCAAAGCACTACACTGCAAAGAGCAGTGAGAAGCCCTTTTCTCGTATGATGAGTAAACTGAGGCAAAGGGAAGTTAGGCTTTTGAAGGGGGCACACCCCCCAGCCGGAGCTCCTGTGTTGCCTCATGCACTCCTGACAATACCATCACTGTCCTCCTGTGTGAAACACCAGCAAAACAAGGCTGGTGCCTGGCCCAGGGCCACACATCCAGGGGGCACAGGACCCACAGCCCGTCTGCCTGACTGCGTTCGGCGGCCCCGCCACAGGGCACAGTGGCCAGGGAAGCCCCACAGCCTAAGCCTGGGGAGACACTCCTGCTGCATCTTCAAGCTTTCTGCTAAGACACAGGGCACCTGAATGAGGCACTGCAACGGCCTGCCCGCGTAGCGAATGCTTCTCTTCCAGTCTTTACTGCTGGCTCTTCCTGCCATGGCTTCAAACTCAGTTGGACTGTACCAGTTCTCCCCCTGCTTAATGCATCGGCCCCGGCCTCCTAAAATGACACACGGGACCAGCAGAGTAAGGGCAACGCCCGCCCACAGCACCCCCGTTGGCTGACAGTGGCCAGGTCCCCCTCCTCTCCTTCCCCACCTCCTACCTGGCTCCTCCTCAAACACCAGATCTCCACAAACACCAGAGCCCCCACCTGGGCCTGCGTGATCTCACCCTTTCCCATGGACAGCCCCCACCACGAAATCACACGTGCAGGCCACGCCTGCCTACTTTATCTGTCTGCTCACCGTCCACGGGCAACAAAAGCCCAACATGGTCTCACACGGAGCTCGTGACATCTGCCCCACTCCCAGAATGGGGGTGGGTCCCCATCGCTACGGGTCCCCAAGCTGACCCGGGAACTTGGGGAGCGCATTCCAGGCCTGCCTCTCCCCGCACTCTCCCTCCTCCACGGATCACTGTGTCTTCTCACTGTGCCCCCACCACACCCCAAACCTGTCCCGGCCTCAGCTCTAGTGCCCAGGGGCCGCGAGCCCAGCTGCTTCACTCGGCCCAGGCCCTGCGCAGCCACCAGGGGAAGGGCGTGTCTGCATCCTGTGCAGCGGGGGCCCACGCCGCCTCACCTGAGCCCAGCCGGCTCTTGAACAGCGTGCCGCTGATGTTCCGGCAGCGCACGGGCAGCTCGCTGTCGTACACTGAGGGGTCCCAGTTGTATTTGGTCCCACCTCTTTCTTGGCCAGGAGCAGCAGGACTTGGAGGGCACTGAGGGCCTTGAGCAAAGGAAGCATTTTGAAAATAAGAGATGCGGGACACTCCCAGCATAACAGGAAAAATACAAGCATCTCCTGGACTCTAATGGCGGGTTCTCCCGCTACCACCCCAACACAGCAGCACCGTCCCCTTCCGCTCTGAGCAGCTCCTCTTCGGCCTGGAAAAGCCCACTTTCTCTCCTCAGACAATAATATTCCTATTCCAAGTTTACCACAAAACTAAAGAAGCCAATTCCAGAGTGAACCCGCGAGCGCTCGGACGCGTTCTGCTCTGGAAAGCCGGGGGCAGGAACGGGCAACACCTGGAGTAAGCGGAGCAGCTGGCCCCTTCAGCCCGGCCGTCTCCACGATGCTCCCGTCCGTGTGCACGACAATCAGCGTGGCCTTCTCGGTGTTCAGGCTGTCCCCAATCTGCAGCGCCGTCCTGCCAGACTGGAAGAAAGAACGTCCCCTAAGTCGTCTCAGACAACAGCTGCAGGGCCTGTCGCCTGGTCCTTGCTCACCATCACCAACAAGGGCACCGACTGGGATTCCAGGGCCTCTTTCAAAGACGCCCCTAAAACACCTAAACACAGAGCCAAGAACAAGAAAGACAATGCTCTGGGAGGCCCTGAGCAAATGCTCACAACCTCCTGCTACAGGGAAAAAATAAACATGTCCCACAAATACACCCTGGAAACAGGAAGTACCCTCACGTCTACCTGAGCAGCCTCTGCAAGTTCACAGGTTTCTAGGGAGGGTTCTGAGAGACAAGTCCACAGTCACAGCCGGGGTCTGGGGCAGGATTCCCTTTTCATGCCCATGCCCCATGCACAGCTCTATTGATGGCCACCAGACACCAAGACCTCCCCAACCACGCTGCTCACACACCTGTCCACGGTGGCCAGGGGCTACCGTGACAGCACCTACTTCCTCTGGGCTGGCCTGGCCTCACCCTTCAAGCTGCCCTGCTCCCCGGGAGAGCCAGATGCCCCTCTCCCATCCCTGCTGGCCCTAGGCGCACACCTCACGGGGCTCTGGCAAACAAACTCTCAAGGCTTTTACCAGACAGCCCTGGGGTAGATGACACTCACTCCAAGCAGCCTGTTCAAACCCAACATCCTGGGGTGCTCTGATGCTTTCACGGTGAGGACAGAACCGACGAAGGCAAAGTGAGGAGACCTTACATCTGAAAATCACATCCGGGGAAGTGAGTGCCGGCTCATTGTGGAGTCGAGGGGCCTCCACCCCACGAGCATACAGACACATACACATGTGCGCACACACCCATGCCTGGGCTCATACACCTGGAGAGTCATTGCCTCAGTAAGCGTGTCAACACTACTCATGTCTGAATCACTTCACACAAGCAACTCTACTGGAAAAAGGGAACATTCTGTGTTCATTTACAAATCACAAAACTATTTTCCTTATTAAGGCCAATGAGAATATACGGATATTTGAGACCCGGATCACACTAAGTCTGCGGGTCTTCCTGTCCTCAGAGCCTACTGCAAGCACTGCACCCAGGAGGCTGCACCCTAGCTCCCTGACCCTCTGGCTCCAGTCCTTTCTAAAAAAGAGGACAATCCAGAATCTGCTGGGAAGGAAAAACCAGTTGGAAGCATGAAACTGTCACCTGGCTATCAGCTCATATGCATTCTTGACACCCTAAGAAATAAAGCAAGTTTCTGAAATCTCTAGTCTGCTATTATAATTAAGAGCGCAAGTTTTCCGTTCGTTGCCATGCCAACGACAGTAACTTTGCTTCCAGGGATATAGTGTCCCAGGTGTGTGATCAAGGCTAGAGAGAAACCGTAACTGACAGCTGTGGCAAAGCTCCAGGAGAGTCCCCCATTGTGCGGTCAGCTGGCCAGGACCGACGGGGAGACAGGAGCACAGCCACACCCCTCAGGGCACCCAGGGAACCCAGAGCAGGCCTCTGGGACAGCCAGGCTTAGGGAAGATGCCCTCTGGGTTCTGGGGAAAAGTGCTCACAGGGCAGCTTACCAGAACGTGTCCCGAGAGGGAGGCGGCATTCGCCACGGACGTGGTGAAGACGTTGTCTGCGGAGGCGCCCACATTGGCCACAGTCACCGTGGTCACCTCTGCAACACAAGAGTCTGATTCAGCATACTGTCAGAGCTGGGGGCCTCCCACTTGGGCCCCAAAACAGCATCTCTCCGTCAGTTATCTGCACTTCCAACCAAGGGACTCTCAACGTTTGTACACTAAGTGCTCACTCAATACTTCTAGACCGTAGGCTAGGTGATCTGGGTCTTAGAAAAAGAGAGAGGAAAGGCTCTCCTGGCATTACAGCCTTTTTCATTCGCAGTGAAAACCCGCCCCCGGGCTTCTTGCTCCCTTTTAGGAGAAAACCACACACCAAGGCTCTGAGCAACCTGTGATCATCCTGTGATCAGACACCTGCCGTGTCACCGACACACAGTTCCCTCCCTTCCCGGCCCCCCTCTCCAGGTCAGCACAGGGCAGGCTCAGGTCCCTTCATTGTCCTCCCCCCCCCGCCCCCCGTCACTGCACACTGCAGAGGCTTTCCTTCCCTCTCCGGGGCTGGGTCACACAGCGCTCTAGAATGGCCCATGCCTGGGGCAGTCTCTGGCACACGGGAAGTGCCCCACAAACACTGGCCCAAAGAGTCCTGCATATTCCACGAAGCCAGTGCCCCCCACACTCCACTGAAACACCTGTCCCCCGTCTGTGTCCTCCCCTAGACCACACCCCAGGAGTGCCAAGGAGATCCCTGCCTGAACACACTGGACTCGGCCAAGCAGCGGTCTGCCCAGAGGAGGTGGCCTCAGACGGGCAACATGTCCTGCTGAGTTACTTCCACCCGGAAATTACCTGACCTCAGGAACTTATGACAGAAAAGTTGTAATGCTTTCAAGTATGCAAAAACACAACTATAAAATTTTGCAGGAAAAACAACTCATTTCTCTGAGGCTGTGATGAATAGTATCACATTTCTTTTCTGCATCCAGAAAAAAAACATTATGCAAAAAGCACAAAAAACTGAAGAAAAACTTCATGGTCCAAAATCCCAACATTAAACCAGTTTAGCCACAAAGCCTTCTTCCCTCCCTCGTGAGGACCCCAGGCAGACCACACAGACCAGCGGCACTGGGGCAAGGAGGACCTGGCCTGCACCTGAGGGCCGGATGAACACCTGCAGTGACCAGGCCCACGAGGAGCAAGGAGGCTGCTGCCAGTCCCCAAACCTGGGAGCTCCTTAAGTGAAAGCGCCTGACAACGACATGACGATGCTCTGCCAGGGTTCCCACGCACACCTCTGAGTGCTCGGGGGCCTCCAGCGCCACTGGGGAGCTCCCAGTTAGGACGGGGTGCAACACCTGGGACAGTCTCTACCATCTTTGGGTCCGAACAGAGCCGAACGCTGCCGAGCACGGGTACTCCCGAGCCTCGGCTCTCGGGCTCCTCTTGTACGAAAGTGCCCGAGCGCTGCCGGACGGGTCGAACGGGCCTCGGCCGCGGATCGAATCAACTCCCGAAGCGCAGCGCGGTCGGGTCCCTTCGGGAGCAGAAGCGAAAATGGCCGAAGGGACGCGAACAGTGCGGAGCTGTCTCCCCTACCCTCTGGGGAAACACACAGGGACCGACCAGGAGGGCAATCTGAGAAGTCAAAGCACGATGCTGACCTCTGCTCCCAAAGGTCACAGGGCCCCCTCAAGCTGGGTGAGCACTGTCTTGCCCCCTGGCTCTCAGGTCACCCCTGAACTAACTCTCACGATTCCAGGTGACCAGACACACCCACCCTCAAGCCCCTCCGGGGCAGGATCCATGTCCGATCCCCACTCCCCTCATCCCCCGGCCCCCAGGGTCACCAGCGCCAGGGAGAGACAGAGAAGAGGACAGGCAAGGCAAGAGGCAGGTACTGGGAAGGTTCTGGAAGGAGCGCAGAGTGCTTCACGCGGGGGGGGGGGCGGGGGGCAGGCACAAGGTTAAAGAGGTCTGGGAAGCAGGTTCGGGGAAGTGTGCACACCGGGCGGGGCCAGGCTGGTGACGTGGGCAGGCGTGCAGGAATGTCAGGGCACGCCAGGTAGGTGCGAGGCATGCGGGAGGCATGTGTTCGGGGGAGCAGCGGCAGGCTGGTCGCCGGGGCGCGCGCAGGGCAGGTGTGCGTGGGAGGCAGGGCGTGCGGGGCAGATGCGCACAGGTGCACGGGCCGGGCGCGCCGCAGGTGCGCGGGAACCGCGGGCGGGCGGCACTTGCCTGCGAAGGCTGCGGCCGCGGCGGCCTCGTCGGGGCCCGGTAGGGCCTCGGCGCCTATGTCCATGTGCCCGGGCTCGGCGGCCATCACCGCCACGGCCGTCACCCGCCGTGTCTCGCGCTCTGCCTCCGAGTCCCCGTCCTCCTCCGAGTCCTCGTCCCTGCTGAGCACCGGCTCCTCCGCCTCGCCTCCCGCCGCGGCCGCGGCCGCCGCCGCCACAGCGGCCGCGGCCGCCACCGCCGCCGCCTCGGCCAGGCCCAGCTGCTTGGCGGCCGAGTCCGAGTCCTCCATCCGGACTCCGCCGAGCCCGCCCGAAGGCGCCGGCCGGGGCCGCCCGAAGGCCGGGACGGAGCCCGAAGCGCGCCGCGGGAACAGGGCCGCCCGAGCCGAGCCGAGGCGAGCCGAGGCCGCCCGAAGCTGCCAGCCGAGCCGAGCCGAGCCGAGCCTGCCCGAAGCCGCCCGCCCCGCCGAGCCGAGGCCGCCCGAACAAGGGCCGAACCGGCACGAAGCGGCCTAGTCGAGCCCTGCCGACGGCCAAGAGTCCGGAACCGAGGAGGGCCGAAGCGGCCCGAAGTGCGGAGCCGAGTCGGTCCGAATTGGCCCGAAGCGACACGACGGCTTCCGAGCGGCTCTGCGCTACCCCCACTCAGCGCCTAAGAGAGCTGCGCCACCCGTCGTCCCCAGCAACAGGGTCGCCGACTGCGGGGTCGAATATCGCCGATCTCCAACGCAGCGCGGCCGGGCCCAGAGAACCTCTCGCCGCAGGCTCCGCCCGCCCCCGCCGCGAGCGGAAGCCGAGTCCGTCCGAGGCGGAGCCGAACAGAGCCGAACGCTGCCGAGCCCGGGTACTGCCGAGCCTCGGCTCTCGGGCTCCTCTTGTACGAAGGTGCCCGAGCGCTGCCGGACGGGTCGAACGGGCCTCGGCCGCGGATCGAATCAACTCCCGAAGCGCGGCGCGGTCGGGTCCCTTCGGGAGCAGAAGCGAAAATGGCCGAAGGGACGCGAATAGTGCGGAGCCGAGAGACTGCTGGGATCGCGGCGGACTCAGCGGGCGGGGCCGGGCGGGAAGATGGCCGCCGCACGGCGAGGTGAGAGGGCTCGGGGCGGGCTCCTTGGGGAGCTGTCAGGGGGCGCGGGACGGGCCGCGAGGGTCTCGGGGCAGCGCAGCGCCCGTCCGCCCGCGGCTTGGGCTGGGGTCCCGGGCGGGCGGGGGTGGAGATCATGCCGGGAAGGGAGTTCTGTCGGGTTTGGTTCTTTCTGGTGATGGAAAGGCGGACGCGTCTGGGGCGTCTCCCAGCGGTTGCGGTTCCGCGGTCTTGAATGTCTTGGCGAAGTGCGGCCCCGGGCCGGTTGGGCGCCTCTTGCCCTCCCGTGGCCGGCGCCCCGCTCGGCGCAGAAGCCCAGCTGTGCACGGCCCTGGGCGGTGGGGGGACCGTCCGCCGCCGCCGGCCCTGGAGGGGGGATCCCCTCTCCCGCTGGCGACCCTCGGGGGAGGGGCTCCCGTTCCCCGCCGCCGGCCATGGAAATGGGGACCCCATCTCCCGCCGCCGGCCCTGGTTCGGGGGACCCCGTGCCCCGCCACTGGCCCTCGAAGGGGGGTGCCGCCGGCGGCCCTCAGGGGACCTCCCGGCCCCCGCCGCCGGCCCTGGAGGGCCGCATGCAAGCTGCCGTGGGCCCCGGGCGCTGGGCCCCGAGTGTGGCCGTGGACCGTGGCCGGCTGCAGCAGCTGCACGCTCCAGAGAGCGAGGGGGCCCGTGTGCCTTGAGGACAGGGCAAGAGCTTGTCACGGCCTTGGGGGCACGCTGTCGCAGTCGCCAGCGGCTTCGTGTCCAGGACAGAGTGCTGGGCATCCTGGCAAGCCCCTGTTCCAAAGCTAGGCACAGCCGGTGTGTGCCTCAGTCACACAGATGTCTCTAACGTTGGGCCATGGAAGCTCACCAGCCTGTGGGCGTTGCTCCTGCTGGGGCAGGTCCTGCTCGCGCCACCAGGGTCCCTGCCGTCACTGTGTCATTTACAGTACTGAGCTCTCAGCAAACCTGACAGCTCTTGTGTGAACACTTGTGTGGAAAAGAAAGTGCACGAGTGGGAGGTGGCAGTGTTACTCTGGGCTCCGAATTACCTTTGTCTAGTTTAGCACCCACTCTGGACACAAAAGCCCACTTTTCCAGCCTCCCTCCTGCACCGAAATTACTGGCTGGAGAGCAGAGAGGAGGGAGGGAGCTGCGGCAGCGAGCAGAGTGTCTGTGTTTTATTCAGAGCCCTCCCGAGGGCTCCAAATCGCCAGACCTTTGTGGAAGGCCACTGGCAATGAGGTGCGTCTTCAGTTGGTGAAAGGAAGTTCACACCAGAACAGGATCTCTGTGCACACCTTGTGTATCACCTCAGGGGGATCATTTGTTCTCTTTACTTCCACATGAACTTCTTAAACACCTGTTGATGGCCTCATTGTTGTTACAGTAACTCATTGACAAAAAATGCTAGGTCCTAAAAGCTAGGGCTGTACTTAGAATGAACTCCTGTAGGTCTAAAATCCATAGAATAGCCAATCTGATTGTAGCCACCTTTAATGTTAATTATTTAAACCCCATTTCACATAAAGTTTTTATACAACATATTTTTCCTGAGCCCCCACGGTTCTGATCCATGATAGTGGTTGGCCGGCAAATAGACTTGAAGTGTCTGAAGCCAACCTTCAAGAGAAGAATCAAAAGGGAGGAAAACCCCAATTAATGTGAAATTCACCCAAATAATGGCAAGCATCTAGGCAGCCTAGTTTAACTACGTCCTGGTTTCGAGAGCGCACTGCCTGTAATGTGATGCAAGTTTATAAAGGATCCTGCTCGGCTTCACGCTCCCTGCACGAGCTGCCTCTCCTGGACGCTGAGCTCTGAATCTGTTACTAATTCCCCGTGCTGACCCATTTAAGACCCCTGCCCAAGGGAGACTCCACAGAAGGCCCGAATCTGCTTTGATGTCCCACAAGCCTTAGCAAGGCTGAGAGTGCCTCTCCTGCCCCCTTGGGGGGGGGGGGGGGTGCGCGGAAACTGGAGAGAAGACCAGACAGACTGGTTTACATCGCCGTCCTGCTTGCTGCTTGGCAATATAGCTCAGGTTTTCTTCTGTAGGGTCTGTTTGCCAAATATTAAGTTATTACTGATGTTTCTACATGTCACAAATGTGCCACTACTCTGAGCCTCTTGAAACAGGAAATCTGCCCCAGGACACGTTCAATCGAAGGATTAGTCAAAGATACTTCAAACTAGGGCGCCTGGGTGGCTCAGTTGGTTAAGCGACTGCCTTCGGCTCAGGTCATGATCCTGGAGTCCCGGGATCGAGTCCCACATCGGGCTCCCTGCTCAGCAGGGAGTCTGCTTCTCCCTCTGACCCTCTTCCCTCTCGTGCTCTCTGTCTCTCATTCTCTCTCTCTCTCAAGTAAATAAATAAAAAATCTTTAAAAAAAAAGATATTTCAAACTCAAAACCTCGGATCCTGAAGACCATTTCACAGGGAGAGAGGCTGTCATCTTAAGATGAGGGGAAACGTGTGCCTGTTATGGGTAGGAGAAGGTCCAAGAGACACACCACTGGGAGAAATTGGATTGCTGCTGTAGGAAATTATTGTTTGAGTGAGATTTGGGGCAATGTATAAAATTCTAGAGAAAAGCAAGTGTCTATCGTCAATTACCAAAAAAAAAAAAAATTTGTACCCTGAATCAGAAAAGGTTCTCCTCTAATTATATCCCTGTGGTAAATCCAGAAAGCACAGAGGATGAGAAAAGCTGCTGTCCTCTGGTGCCCAGGGCCTTCTCCCCTGTCGGTGGAGCAGAAATCTGCCTGTCCTGGCTGACCTGACCTCAGCTGTGGATGGAGGCCTTGCTTCCTCTCCACCGCTGAGCTCCCGAGTACACACTCTCCCAGCCTTGGGTTCTGAAAAGCAGATGGCAGATCCTCCTCGGAGGGACAAATGCAGAGGTGCTAGAAAGGGACCTAGCAGGCTCAGATTAAGGTGGCTTCTTTCTGTAAATACGGGGGGAAAGAATGAAGCCGGGATCCTCTGTCGGTGTTGGAAATGGCCCAGGTAAGCACCCAGGTTGGACCTGGGGCCTCACTGACTGATATGCTTTGTTTTCCAGGGAGAGCTTCCTCCGCGGTGGTATCCTTCTGCCGTGTCCCCATGTCCCTCAGCTGGCCTCAGGCCCAGGCCTCCACAGGATGGCACTTTTGGGCTAGTTTGCTGGACACAGGAAGGCAGCTCTGAGTTCCTGCTTTTTGTTCCTTTAAACTCCCATGCGCACCCTTTCTATAAGTTCTGAGTAGAAATTCCACTTTTAAGTGGGAGGGACATTCACTAACAATTTAGAGTTGATAGAACTTCAGTGGGGCATGCTGGCTCCATCACTCTCCTTCTTGGCCCTGCACCTTGAGTGGGTGGCTGCCTGCCTCCCACCAGGCCCACCTGGAGCAAGAGAGTGAAGACCCCTCACTTTGAATACTTATAGACTCATTTTACCGTAAACAAACAAGAAGTGTACAGTGCTCAGGAAAGTTAGTAGACATTTAACTGCACAAAAAAAGAGAATATATTTTCTTTGAAGAAAATGAAAAAAAAAAGTCATTTTTTTCTATCTAGTAACCTGGGCCACAGTCGGGGTAACCCTGCCCCCAAGGAAGCCTGGTGTTCCAAGGCCGTCCTGCCTGCCCTCCTGTTCCAGGCTAGGGCATTTCCTGTGACACCAGTGGAGTATGGGTGGAAGCCGCCCCAGACAGGGAGCCAGTGGCCAGGTCCCCATGGCCACCCACAGGTGCACCTCTGAAGACCTGGCAAGGTGTGCCCCCTAGGGTGGATGCACGGGTAGGGCCCGTCTCTAGGCCCACCAGTCCTTAACCGCTGGCCAGCTCTCGTCCGTCTCTCTGCAAGTGCTGTTCTGCCTGAGTGGGGCATATTACGCCCTGTATTTCCTAGCTACACTCCTGATGATTACATATAAAAGTGAGTCTTAAATGCAAAGGCACATGGGAGGTGTCCTTGCTGCACCACCCCACCGCCATAACTGGAGTTCTCTGTTGCCCGCTGTTCTCCAGGTCAGGTTTTCAGTTATCCTCACCCTTACCTGGTCCTCGACCTGACTCTGCTGCTTCTGATGGGGATTCTGGAAGTGACTCGGTTATACCTTGGTGAGTTGACTGAAGACCATATAGTGGGTAGGATCACAGAATTACATGCTGGGAACCTCTAAATGCTCATCCCTTCATAACGTGGTTCTTAGAGACACTTTTGATGTCAACAGCTTAGCCACTTGCTTTGCAAGCCTCCCCTTACGATGTCATTAAGTATTAATTAGTTTATTCAGAAGCTTAATTCAAGAGACGACACTGGCACTGGCAGCATCCTTGGGAGAGACGCTATCCTGCAGAAGCTGCATGGGGACAGACAGCACTGAGATCAGAACCCAGCTTAGCCAGTTGACTGGAGCCCCAAAATATTCACCTCACCTCCTTCCTTCCCCCTCCGTTGGCCTCAGCAGTCTGGAGAAGGATCTGGAGTGTTCTGTGGAGTCCCCAACAGGGCAGCGGAGCCTGGAGGAGTGGGAGGGCTCCCCGAGCTGCCTCAGTCCAGCTCCAGGGCCATTCAAGTGCCCTCAGGCAGCCCACTGTTCCGTCCAACAGCATGAGCTTTGCCCTCTAGCCCAGCCCAGCCCAGCCAGTGCTCAGCACACAGGGTGCAGGCTTCCAGCCCCGTCTTCTGCCTCCTGCCAAGTCACAGGCACGCACATGGCAGCACATACGTGTTCTACAATGGGGTCGTACATGGGTTGAGCATTCCCTCCATTAGAATAGCTGGTGGAGCCGACGACAGCTGGTGCTCTTAGGCCCCTTGCATGTCAGCACATTCTGCCTGCCCACGCGTGCCAGCGATGCCCAGTCAGCAGTGAGGAAACGGGCGCACGCCCTTGTCAGCAGAGCTGCAGGACTCTTCAGGGGTCAGGAGCAAGTCTCCTGGGCCATCCTACTGGGCATGCGGGGCCATCAGCATCTGCTGTCACAGACGAGCCCATGCACCTGGGAGGGAGGCAGACGGTGCTGGGCACCTGGGTCAGCTACAGCAGCCAGGGAGCAACGTTTCCTGCGACTGACCCATTTATCTAAAATATTTCGGTTTGGTTCGGTTTTTTACAAGTGTGCATGACATTTTCCAGAACTGGCCTCAGCCCAGAGTAAAATATTTTTGGAAATTTTAAACAAAACCTTCTCAGTCCACTTGGAATTAGGAAAAGGTATCAGAATGCAACTGGGATCGTTTTTAGAAAAGGAAATTCCGTCTCCCGTCCCCACAACTGACCCAGAGGCTAAGATTCAAACATTCTCCCGTGTTTGGTTTTTACCCTTACTAGGGAAAACACACCCCTTGTCACGCTTTGCTTTCTGACGTTTCATGAGTGATGTGGTGACCAGAACAGGACCTTTTACCAAAAGTCCTCAGCCCTGCATCCAGAGGGCCGCGCTGGTGATGAGCTGGCTCTTGGCCTCCCTGCCTCCTAGCAGCCCTCCTGGGCACACACGGGTCAGAGTAGGTATCCCGGAGCCCACTCACCTGACTGTTCTGCTCTCCAGGCACCAAGGGCAACCTGACGGAGGCCGAGGTGCCGCTGGCCATCAGCCTGGCCCTCACGGCGGGGGGCGCCCTGTTGTCCACCTACTTCCTGCTCTGGCAGACCCTGGTGCTGCGGGCAGACTCCATCCTCAGTGCCACACTCCTGACACTCCATGGCCTGGAGGCCATTCTACAGCTGGTGGCCATTGCTGCCTTTGTCAGCTAGGCAGGCAGTGCCCGGCTTCCCTCCCGCCACCCCCCACCCCCCACCCCCCCGCCCAGGGTGGGACAGCTCTGGACAGAAGCCACCTCCTGGGAGCTCGGCCATGTCTGGCTGGCTCCTTCTGGGGTGCGCCGACCTGCTTGATCACCGAAGGGGGCAGGTGAGGATGGTGCATGTTTTCTCGCAGTGCGGTGCATCTCTCACATAATTGCTGGCATTCCGTGCTTTCCACACTGGTCCATCTGGAGCTACAGGGTGGCGTGGGGAGCCAGGGACCCACAGCTCATGGCAGGCCAAGTCCTGGACAGCAGTCAGCTCTGCTTTGCAACAGAAAAGAAATGTGAAGGAGCCAGCAAGCTCTGGTGTTTGGGGGGTTTTTGCAGAGGTGGCCCCTTTCCCCTTGGGGCTCCTGTGGGGAGGTGGTCTGAAGCCCTGGCACTGAGGGGAGGGAGGCAGAGGATGGGAGAGTGACGGAGAACAGCCTGCCACTGCCCTGGGCTGGGGCTTCAGGGCTCCGATGTCCAGGCCTCTGTAGGAAACCGTCAGGAACGTTTGCGCTGTGTTAGACGCGGTCACAGAATGTAAGGGCCCCTGGAAGGACTCTTGAGTTCATGTTCTCTAGTAACTTGCCTTCATTTGTCTGTATTGCACCCTGTCCACGTTTGGAATAACATGTTTGAATATCCAGGTATTTTCTCTTTGCCATATTGTTGAAATAAATGTTTATACCTCCCTCAATTTCTCCTAAGGCTACCTACCTCTTCCAGGGTTCTTTCTGGATAGACAGGAGCACACCCCACCCAGGCCTCACCCAGACACCCAGGGAGCAGTGCTTCCGCGAAAGGCAGCAAAGCTGGGCTTGGGGCCCGTCCTGGAGCTCCCCAGGGACGGGCTTCAGCGAGGGCTGGCAGCAGCACCCTCCCCCACCTGTCCTTCTCAGGGGCAGGTGGGGGCAGGAGCTCTCCCCTCTGCTGGCTTTGGCTCTGGTCCGGTGCACACCTGGGGCCCCGAGGCCGCGTGTAGGCGCCCTCGTGCTTACCTGCTGCTCATGTGTTCAGCGGAGCTTCCTGCCTCTGACGCCAGGGCACTCCCCCCGGGGACTTGGGAAGGATGGGACGGGTGCACTTGCTCTCTGTGGAAACAGCCAGCTCCCCCGCAGACCCTGACCACGTGACACTTGTGGCCTTAAAGGTTCAGGACCTCCTGCCCAAGGATGTAGGCCCAGCCTTGACACCCACATCGCTGTGGCCACACAGGTGGCAGTCACCTGTCCACAGAGGACACCACAGCTCCAGGTAGCTCCAGAGGCTCCCTGCTGCCTCCTGGTCTGGTGACAATCACTTTAATTTCAGAAGTGCAATAGCACCCACCTCAGCTGCTCCCTTCCGTGCATGTTTCCCACTTCCTGCCTGCCCAGGCTCAGTCTCCAGGAAGGATGAGGGCAGGCCCGTGCCTTCTCTGGATGCTCAGCAGAGTAGGAGAGAGAACCAGGAAGCCAGGACTTGCCAGGGCTCAGGGGCAGGGCTGGGCCTGAGAGGAGGGCCACTTCCTGCACCACCTCTGAGAGCTCACCTGTGATGCTTCAGAGAGCAGGTGGGGAGGCCCGCCCCCCGGGGGGGAGGGTGCCGCCATTCCCCCAGGGGGGTTCCCCAGGAAGTGCTTTTTGTCAGCCCCAGGTAAACAGGCCAGCTGCCTTTGGAACCCTGCCTCCTGATGCACCATTTTCCACCCCCCACCCCACCCCAGGAACAATAATAGCCAGAGGCTTTGGGTCCTTGCATGTGCCTGGGGTGCCCACCACCGCCTGGACTTGCCCTCTGCCTCTTCTCTACTTCCTCCCCACCCAGCTGGCAGAGGCAGGGGGAGTCAGTTCAGGAGGAAGGATACTGGCTCCACGCTGGGGGCAGAGGGTGGGGCCTGGGCTAAGGAGGGGGCCACAGCCTGGAGTCCCCTCCCACACCTGTTCTGTGCCCTAGTAGTGAACAGCCTAGGCCACAGGCATCGTCACCCTCCCATCAGACACCCCCATCCCTCGGGGTGCCCATGCTGGACTGGGGCTGCACAAAAAGACTGTAGGATCGGGGCGCCTGGGTGGCTCAGTCAGTTAATCGTCTGCCTTTGGCTCAGGTCATGATCCCAGGGTCCTGGGATGGAGCCCCACATTGGGCTCCCTGCTTGGTGGGGAGTCTGCTTCTCCCTCTGCCGCTCCCCCTGCTTGTGTTCCCTCTCTGTCAAATAAATAAAATCTTTTTAAAAACAGACTGTAGGATCTCCTGGATTGTGGAGGAGAGAGCCCTCTCCCGCCTGGGGAGCTCGGAGCACAGGGCCGCAGGGTCTCTGGCCTCGGATCCTACCTTTGACACCCACTCACAGACTGACGCCTGACGCCTCACTCCCCCAGGCCAGAGGGGCCAGCTGTAGAGGAGGGGGTTCTGCCCCGGGGCCTGGCGCCCAGGATAGGCACCTCTGCTGCGGCAGCTGAGGCTGGGAGATACCCGGCAGGGGATACCTGGCGGCTGCTCGGGTGCAGCGAGGCCTGCCTCGGGAAGATCTTAGAACCTTGCCCTGCGTGGTCGCCAGGCACATCCCCACGGGTGAGGGGCTCCCGATCCGCCTACCCGTCCACGGGCACCCCAGCTCCGGGGGGTGGGGTCTGCGGATCCAGGGGGCCCACAGGGCGGGCGTTGGGGACCGTCCGCAGGGAGCCCCAGGGGGCGGGGCCGAGTCGGAGGGGCGGGGCGTCCTCGTCCCGCCCCCACCCTTCCCCCCGCCCCGCGCCCGCCGGCTCCCGGGTCTCTAACCTGCCGCTCAGGTTCCTCCGCGCGGCCCCGCCCCGGCCCGGCCCAGCCGCGCGTCCCTCCCGCTGCCGAGCCCGGGCCGCCCAGGCGAGGAGCGGACAGACAAGCGGACGGACGCGCGGACAAGGGGACCCACGGGCGGCGCAGGCACGGGGCCGCGAGTAGCAGGTGAGCGCCCCACGGGTCCCCACCTAGCCCACTCAGACCTGCCAGAATCCCTGCGGACGGCGGTCTGGCTCAGCCTCAGTTTCCCCAGGTAGCCGTGGGCCGGGCCTGGGCGCCGAAGGCAACGGGGTGCGATAGGGCTGCGCCGAACCCGTGGCCAGGAACTTGGTCCGGCTGTGGCCTGGTCTGCCTGGTCCTGGGGCGGTGCCGGTGCGCAGGGACATTTTAAAGGCAGTGGCACCTGAGTCAGCCGGCCCCCTCCCCGCCCTGGGGCTCGGTGGAGGGAACCCCTTGCTCCAGCGAAGGAGGTGGGAAGGGGGTTCTCTCCCTGCCCCTCAAAGGCCCTAAACCCCCTTCCACAGGACAGGCTAGGGCCTGCTTTGTGGCCAATGGCTCCCTGTGGGCTGGCTCAGGAGGCACTTCCTGGGTGTCTGAGCCAGGAGGGAATCCAGGGCCAGAGAAGCATCAGGCTAGGGTCAGGTTCTGGGTGAAGGGGTGTGGGAGCTTCAGGGAGGAGGAGCCTGCATGCTGGGTGGCAGGGGGCCTGTGGGTGCTGGACCTGAGGCTCCCCCAGGTTCCTCCTCCCTGGGCCAGGCTGACCTGGGGCTGCCCCTGCGTATGAAGGTGTCCCTGGTGGCTGGGGAGGAGGGTAGGCAGGCTTGCGGTGCTTCTGAGGTGCACCCACAGACCACCTCTACCCCCACTCCAGGGGTAGTCAGCCCCAGCAGTAGCAGTTCGGGGAGCCAGGGCCCAGCTGGGGGTGCCTCTCCTTCTCCACCTCTGTACTGCTCCCCCCAGCCCCCGCCCTGGGGGGGCCCAGGCCTCTCCTGGGGCCTGCCTAGAACGGGGCCTCAGTGGCTCAGCATTCCACCCGGCCCAGTCTGTTGGATCCCCTGTGCCCGCCTTCCCAGCGCACTTTGAGCCCACCCCTTCCCCACCCAAGCTTCCCAGGCTTATCCCTCCTTACCAGCCACGTTGGGCCCTCCCCAGCAGGCAGCTCCCAGACCTGGGCAGAGCCAGGGCCCTGAGGGGTTCCCCCATTCCAGAACTCCACCCAGCTCCCTCTGGGCCTTAAGCTGACTCCTCCCCAAGGTCACTTGGCTGTGAGCTGGAATTTGAACTTGGAGCTGGTCCCTCCACCCTCCCTGCCCTGCTGGGGCCTCCACCACTGCCCAACCAGGCACCAACCTCGGCCCTCCCTTTGCACCCGGAAAATGGCCGCAGTAAAACCAAAGTGCAATCTGGGCCCCGAGCTGGTCCCAATCCCTTGGGCCCACACAGCTCCCCTGCCCCAGTCAGCTGACTGGAGCAGGTCTGTGGTGGCCCCTCCCCCAGCTGCTCCCCAACCCAGATGCCAGCACCTGGACTCACCTTTCTGGCTGGCCCTGCTGGGCCCCCCACCCTGCTCCAGGGAGTTGAAGGTCATGGGTTCCTAGCCTAGGCGCCCCAAGGAGGTGGGCCGTGTGTCCCAACCTGTGAGTGTGTGTGTGTGCCTGGGGGCCTGGGTTTTGCCCAGGTTTGTGTGTGCCCAGACACACGTGCCCAGTGCCCTTGGCTCAGCCCCCAGGAATCCCATTAAGCAAACACTTGGCTCCCTCACTGAGGTCATGAGCATTCCGGACATTCTCCATGGACAGATGGTCAGAGGAATCTGACCAAGCCACTACTCCCACCCATCCTGAGAGAGCTAGGACCCTCCATGGCACATGGGAGGGGGTGGCCTGAAGCCCCCTGGCCCCTCACACCTCCTGGAAACCCTCTTTGTAGGTAGGACCTGGTCAAACCAGAAAGTCGTGGGGTGCTCCCTGCCCCTGGATACCAGTACCCCTGGCCTATGGACCACCCACTCCGGCCAACCCCAAATACAGAGGGACAGCCTTGTCAGAGGTCCCCAGGGGGCACAGACCCCACAGGACATGTTAGTCTGACCCAGGGGGGCCAGGCTCTGCTCACCCCCCTGAGGGTGTGCTCCCTCTAGACTTTGTTCTGGGCTCTGGGTCCCCAAGGCCACACCTCCCGCCCCCCCCCGACCCCATCCAGGGTCCAGCCTCATCCTGTGCTGCCTTCCTCTGGTATTGACTCCCACCTGACTCAGGGCCTTTGAACATGTGTTCCCTCTGCTTGGAAGGTGGTTCCTCTCCTAGGTCCCCTCTCAGAGCCCTCAGGACACTGTCCTTGCAGGCCCACCCAGACAGCCTTGAGAGTGGGACTCCTCTACTGGCCCCCCTCGGGCTCCCTGTGGAAGACCAAGGGTCTGGGGTGCGATAGAGGCCCATGTCTGCCAGCTGGGACCTGGGCCGGGAGGTCCTGCTGTGTCCAGGAGGCAGGACTCGACTCCCTGAGGACACCCTGCCCAAGTTCCCTGGGGAACCCGGCCAGGTCACCAGGGCTGCAGCCTCTGGATCTGGGGTGGGCGGAAGAGGAGATCAAGTCCTGCCCTGGGAGCAGTGAAGCCACCGACCAGACCCCAGGGAGGTGTCAGCTCGGCTGCCCTCTCCACTCAGGTGTGGGCCGGGCACTAGGCCCTGGACTCAGGCCACAAGGTTGCCCTTCCATCACCAGCCACCACCAAGGACGCCATGAGCCAGTTGGGGTCTGTGAGCTGCTGCCCAGGTGCTGCCAAGTGAGTCCCCACCCCCCATCCACTGAGCAGTCCCCAGGGAGGGGTGCGGTGTGGGCCTCGCCCTCACCAGCCCCTCCCCTGCAGTGGCAGCCTGGGCCGGTCTGACGGTGTGGCCAAGATGAGTGCCAAGGACCTGTTTGGTGAGTGAGGCTTGAGGATGGGCTGTGGGGTCTTGCCCACTCCCCTCCCCCAGGCTGTGCCAGGCCCCCACCAGGGGGATGCAGGTCAGCCCTTGGTGCCCAAAGGAGGCCCCTGGACCCTCATTAAGCAACAGCTGCTCAGGTCCCTCCCTCCCTCACCGTAAGGAGAGAGGCCTTTACTAATAATTCAGGGACCATCAATATTGATTTGGCTGTGCTCTTCACTGCAACCAGATAGCCCAAGGGGTGGGGCTGAGGCTGGATGGAGAGCCCAGGTGTCTGCTGGGGGGCAGGGGGGCAGGGCCTGGCCAGCCCCACCTTGCCCAGCTCTGCCTCTCCCCCCAGACACTCTTTTGTGCTTTTGGACTTGGCACCCTGTTTGGAAAGCTAGGAGCCCCAGGGAGGGACCGAGAGATGTTAGCTGGCAGCTCTTGGAGTTGGGGGAAGCCCAGGCTTGGACCGCTTCCCAGAATGGTGGGCAAGGGGCCTCCCAGGGAGGAACTGCTGAGCCTCCTGCACCCACCCCAGGACAGACCCCTAGCAGGGGGTCCTTTTCTAGGGGCCATCTGGGGGCAGAGAGAGGTTTTCCGTCTGCCCAGAGGGGCCCTCACATTTCACACTCTCGAGTCCTTTCTGGCGGCAGCCCCCTCGCCTCCATTCGGCCCTTCCTGTGGCCCAACCTGGGAGTCCAGTCCCACCTGTACCAGGGGCTGTGGGTCCTGCCCTCTGGGGTGAGTGACTGGTGACTCCCTGCTCAGAACAGAGGAAGAAGTACTCCAACTCCAACATCATCATGCATGAGACCTCCCAGTACCACGTCCAGGTGAGGCCAGTCCCCAAGGAGCACCTCCAGAGTCCCTGGGCAGATGGGGAACCTGAGGCACAGGGAGACAGCCCAGCTTCTGACACCCAGAGCAGTTAGACAGAGCCAGGGACTGCCCCACACCTGCCCTGGGCTCACCCACGGTGTGGGGACCCCCCTCCAATCCTGGGAAGCTCACAGTCTGGGGGACACAGGAGCCCTGGAGCTATGTCAGGGAAATGGAGATGCCAGTGGCCAACACAGGCCAGGCAAGGACAAGGCCTGGGTGCTGTCTGGCAGCACTGGGGTGGGAAAACTCTGTGGGAAGGAAACTGTCATCCTGGCCCCCAAACAAGGAACTGGATTAGGAGGGAGAAGATAGGACCCAGACACACTTAGTGAGCTCCTGCAGGAAAGCCTCGGACGGCCAATTCAGATGGACTCTGGGAGAGTCCAGACTGGTTAGCTGCACTCCAGACCAGCACCCAGCTCAGGAGCGTTTTCACCCTGGGTCAGCTTTGAGTCACACTTAGAACTGAGGAAATATGTTTTTTAAATGACCTTCCTGGTTCTTGGCCACTGTCCCAGACTGTAGGACAACAGGGTTAAGATTGGCTGAGGAGGGAGGAAGGGGCAGCCTTGGACCAGGAAGAGGGGGGGCTTGGACCAGGAAATAGGGGGGACCCTGGACCAGGAAGGGGGGAGCCTGGGTCAGGAAGGGGGCCCTGGACCAGGAAGG